AATGTTTAGTCTTAAACCTTGTAAAGATAGTATTTTGATTTGTAAGCAATGAAATTATGTTTACCATACAAATATACTTATTTTGAATTACCATTTTTTAAATTTGAAATTCCTTTTTCTTAATATCTAGGGTAGTTATGAAGAGTTAAATTAATCAGTGGTTAAATGTACACTCCCTGCCATTCATTACAAGCTTTATCTTATTGTGACAATTTCATGAAGGTTGAATTCTTTGTCTGGTATTAACTGTCTTTTATTTTTTTCTCATTTTTCCTCTTCCCTAATTTACTTTGAAGAGTTTTCAGCTACCTCAGATTATTTTTGGAATGTAGTATGGTGAGAATAAATAAACCAGAGCTTGCAAACATGAATAGTTCTGTGACCCTCAATGGAATTAGCATGATTGTCTTGAAAATACTAGTGGAACTCAAATCATTGTTTTGTGGGCTTTAAACAGAAATCTCTTTGTATAGAAAAATATTAACCATATAATCAGCTTAAAACCACAAAGCTATAAAAATACTCTCATTCCAACTTTTAAAAAAGAAAAAGGTCTCTGCATGTGCTCTGAGATAGAGTTAAAGGAATGACGTCAGCAGGTCAGTTGCAGTTATAGAGAGTAGAATAACAGGATTTGGGTGATTTTATCTTCAGTTTCACCTCCCTATCCCCAAATTTCCACAGTGAACATTATATTCTTTCAAAAGTGTCTTGAAAAGACCACTGGTTTCTATTTCCATGTTACTTTATTTGGTTATCTTCGTCATGGGCCTTTCCTGACTGCAAAGAGAAGTTTAGTCTGGCCCACAGGTAAAAAAGGTATGCTGTATTTAAAACATAAGAGGATGGATAACACCCAGCATCAGACTTTCATGACAAGCTGCGGTTATCTGTAGGTCACTTTCTGTTCTATACTGTTGCATTGCACCTGGTTTTTATCCCTCCCTCAATGTGGCCCCTTACTCCCTGGTGTATGGGTGGGAGGTAAAAGCTTTCATTTATAAAGCAACTTTATGAAAAGGAATCCCTTTTGTAAGTGGTCCTAACTCCGGTTTCTCAACACATCCCTTGGTTTCTTTAGATTTAACTCTCAAGATGAAAATGTGACTTTGGATGAACTTTTTTAGTGATCTTTACAGTCACAACTTCCCCAATTAGACAATAGCTGTTTGCCTTATGACTTGTTGTTGGTAAATTATCCCCATGGGCTTGAGAAATTCCTGTTGAAAAGTCCAGAAAGTCTTTGGTAACTTGCTGTTTCACTTTTCATTTTTCTTTTCAGTTGCAGAAAATAGGGTCGCATTTAACTTTCCTTTATACCCTAACATCTGTCTGCTAACCTAAATTTAGCAAACACCTTAAGAGAATTAAACCCTGTGTCATGTCCTGGGCTGGCTACTGTGTGAAATAAACTGACTCCTCTCTTTTGTACCTATAACAACACTCAAATTGTTGCACAGATCATTTGTATTTTGGGGTTCAGTGAAAATGCTTATGAAGTTACAGGCTTAGAATTATTCTGTAGAGTAGAAATACTTCAGTTAGAATTTAGTAGTGTTTTGGAGCCTCCCTGGTGGCACAGGGGTTAAAGTTAGTGCTGTCAAGCTCTCCCCAGCCACTGCAGCATAAGTTCCATCCCCGGTCAGGGAGGTGACCCACATGGTGCAGCACACCTCTCCTGTTTCACCTGCTGCTCCCCTCAGTCCGCCTGTTCTGCTCCCCGCTCTGTCTCTGGTGAATCTGCTCACTGTGCCCCCAACCTCTGACCTACACCCCAGCCCTTGTATGCATAAATAAATATATCTTTTAAAAAAATTTTGGTAATGTTCTTTAGGTTAATTTGTAATTTGAAAACCCAGAAATGAGATTGTGAAATAAAGTGGACTTTAAAATTTTTTTTCTGATGAAGCACTTACACAAAGCTAGTTGGCAGTGGTTTTCCTGGACAATTTAGCCAGTAATCTCTTAAGGATATGTTGTTCTTATAAAGAGCAGTGGTTTGATTGCCCTGTGGCTCCTGTTAGTTAAATATGATATGTAGCTAAGCAGTCTTTATGGTGATTACTGTTTGACTCTTTGCCTGTGTTCCCTTTGAAAATACCACCTCCTCTTTGGCTTTCATTTATGCCCTCCCCGCTGCACCAACAGGGAGGCCCAGGAGAAGATAACCTTTTTAATTACTGAATGTAGAGCAGCAGTGGTCAATAAAAATAGAATGCAATCAGATATGTAATGTTAAATTTTCTAGTAGCCCCAATAAAAGAAGTAAAAAGAAATGGGTGAAATTAATTTTAATAGCATCTTTAATGTAATTCTGTGTCTAAAATCAATCATTTCAACTTCAATGAGTTGTTTACATTTTTTGTGCTGTCTTTATTTTTTTTTAAAGATTTATTTATTTATGCATAGAAGAACTGGGGTACAGGCCAGAGGGGTGGGGGGGTGAGAGGATTCACCAGAGACAGAGCGGGGAACAGAACAGGCAGACTGACTGAAATACACTGACTGCTGAGCAGCAGGCGCGCGCAGGAGAGGTCTGCTGTGCCATGTGGGTTGCTCCCTGGCCGGGGATCGAACTGGTGCTGCAGAGGCTGTGGATAGCTTCATAGGTTGCATCTTAACCCCTTGCGCCACCAGGGAGGCCCCTGTGCTAAGTCTTTAAAACCCAGTGTGTATTTTGTATTACAGCAAGGCCATCTCAGTTTGAGCCAGCCACATTTCAGGTGTTCAGCAGCCACACATGACTAAGTAACGACCATATTGAATCATGTAGGTCTCCAATTTCAGTACATTCACTCGCAGTAGAATCTACATCAAAAGGCATATTATACAAATTTCTATGCAAATCAGGTTCTGAGAAACACAGGACAGATCCTGATGCTTTTAGCCTGGGAGGCAGATCGTAACTTGACACGAATGCAAATAATGTAAGCGTTCTAATGGCTGTGGTTACGATGCTTCTGCTTCAGCATGTGGCGTGTACTTAAGGCTGTTGCTTTCGTTGCAGCCAGTGTTTGGTGTCCAAGTCCACTGCTCAAGCAGTGTCTGTCCTGTCTCAGGGTAGTCTTGGGGGTAGGCGATGGCTAGGAGGGTAGGAACTAAAGGAGCGGTAGCTGGAAATGTTTGGGAGATGCCTAAGAAGAAGGAAGACATTGTTAAAAAAAAAAATCCCCCACACCCTGAAACTTACTTAGCCCCCTCTAATACTGTTGGAAGATGGAGTTTATTTATGGGAATATATTCACCTGATTAAGGCAAATACTTCATTCTGACATTCTCAGTTTTTTGCTTTATTGAACTTTTTCACCTGTGAAATTTAAGCCCCTGGTACCTGGGGAGGGAAATACCTTTGATCTGTGCTGTAAGTGTAAAGTACAGACCAGATTTAAAAAACTTTGGACAAAAAAGTACAAAGTACCTCAATAATTTTTGTGTGATTGAGAATGACGACATTTTAGGAGATAGCGGGTCAAATAATAAATATCGTGTGCAGCGGTTGAGCGCTGGGCTGCAAAGCTGCCCGCAGCCTCTGCAGCGCTTGTTCAATCCCCATGGTGCGCAGACCTCTCCTGCCACGCCCGCTGCTCTCCTCAGCAGTGTACTTTGTCAGTCTGCCTGTTCTGCTCCCTGCTCTGGCTCTGGTGAATTCTCTCACCCTCCCGTGCTTCTGACTGTACCCAGTGCTTATATAAATAAATAAATCTAAAAAAAAAAAGGAAAAGAAAACCTCAAAAAAAAAAAAATCGTCAGCATTAATTTTACTTAGTTCTTCTTTCTTTTTAAATATGTAGAAAATTTAGGGTCACAGCTGTGTCTTGGATGACATCTCTGTTGGTAGTGCTGCCTCCAGTTGTTAGGTATTCAGCGTAAAAGACTGCGGCAAAGGTGCTCCCTGTGCTTTCCTGAATGTTTGCCTGCGAGTGTGACTGACGCCATCATAGTAGTAACCCCAGGGGGTGATCTGAGTCTGTCTCCCCAAAAGAGACTGGGAGAACTGTGGCACTGCCACCTCAGGTTCTGTCAGAAGGTCTGATCCTGAACCACTTGGCAACCGTGAAGCTTGCTGCTCTGAGAATAGAAGATCTGTCTGTCTCGCCACCAGTTTGCGTGCTCTTTTTTATGTGAGGATCAGTATTTAGGTGTTGCTTATTGCTTTGTCTGAGAAGTAAATCAGGAACGCTAGCTGAGTGTATGTGTTCATGTGTATTCAATTTCTCATCAAGTGTTCTCATTATCCCAGAAAACCATATCCGTATTCTTTGACCTGTGCGTACCTCCATCTTTGGCCATCCCTCGGGGTTAAGTATTTTTACAGCTTCTTAGGATGGGATCTGTGTTGATATTTCCATGACCCAAGCTATTCAGAAAGATGACCGAAGGTGACTAGATGGGTTGGCTTCTCATACCTGAGCATTTCACTGGGGTTTCATGAGCCTGGGGGCAACTTGTATGCCTGGCATTTAGCTTGTCTACTTTCTCATCCAAGATGGAGAGATTTAAAAGTCAGATTTTGTCTGATTTTTCGTTCAGTGAGAAATTGGTCAGTGGAGAAGTCCCAGGTAGACCCTTACCTATATCTTTAAACTTGTAGTCTTGGAATTAGCTCTTCTCCCTTATGCTCCCCAGCTTACTAAAAGGGGTGCAGAGTGGAAAGGAAGAAGCTACCATCTGTTGAACATCTGTCGTGTGCTGGGCACTGAGCTGGGAGCTTTAGAAATATTATTTCCACAGCCCTGGGGAATAGAAATGATGGGAAAGTTAAGTAATTTTTAAAGTCTCTTCACATCATGCCGACATTGTCATCCCAGTTTAGCAGAAGTGATGTAGTTCCAGAGGTGGAGCTTGAGAATGTGTGCGTGTATTGTTCTAAATTGGGAGAAACATGCAGGATCCTTTCCAAACCAGCTTATATTCCTCATCACAAACCTGACACATATGTTAGAGAGACAGACGTTTCTAGATTGGGTTTGTAGTGACCCTGTGAACACTTCGGTTTACAGTTGGGACCCCTGATTCCAGCAGGATGGCCCAATGGAATCAGCTACAGCAGTTGGACACACGGTACCTGGAGCAGCTTCATCAGCTGTACAGTGACAGCTTCCCGATGGAGCTGCGGCAGTTTCTGGCTCCATGGATTGAGAGTCAAGATTGGTAAGTCCTTCTGGAGAAACTCCCAAATTGTTAGGTTTGGTTTGAGTCAAGAAGCGTGATCTGCTGTAGCATAACTCTTTGTTAGCTATTTCATGAAAAAAATCACAGTGGTATAGATAATAAAGAAGATCAGGAGATCAAGAGATACACTTTGTTTTGTAAAACCTTTTTGATATTAGAAGGACGTGCAGACAGCTATATCTTGGAACGTTGAAACAGCTGCTTGGTGGGAGATGTTTTGAAGGCTGATTTGGATCTCATTTACTTGGTGAGAATTTCTGTATGTTCTGACACTCCAGGGACAGACCACAGATATTTTTTATCTGAATGAGAGTTCTGTCAGAGGTAGAAGTTTGGGTTCATACTTATGATTCCCCCTTTTAAAGGAAAGAGACACAACATAAGGACAATAGGCTTAGTGATAAAGGAGATAATGGCCCATTCATAAAGGAGATAATGGCCCAGAATTCCAAGAAGTATTTTTTCACTTTAAAGTATTCAGGCCCACCTACTAATTTTGGCCTGTGATCTAGCTTTTTCAGGTTTGGTGAGGGGCCAGGAAGTCATTTAGAGATGTAGGAAACAGACAATCTTAGCTTGGAATTGCTTATTTGCTACTTATAATCTAACCCCAGAGTTACTGAGAATTTAAAGCAAAACAGCTTATCTGTCTGCTTCACTCAATTACAAGTATAGACTATGACAGTGATTAATAATTATTAAATTGATGATATTTATTGTTATTGAGCATCATTGGCCTTGATTTTTTTTTCTTGTTTTTTTTTTTTTGGGCCCTTTCTTGATGGTGATTTCTCTGTGTGTGTGTAGGTTTCAGAATCATTCTTTATCATTCTTCCTTTTCCTAGGGCATATGCAGCCAGCAAAGAATCCCACGCCACTTTGGTGTTTCATAACCTCTTGGGTGAAATTGATCAGCAGTACAGCCGCTTCCTACAAGAGTCAAATGTTCTCTATCAGCACAACCTGCGAAGAATCAAGCAGTTCCTTCAGGTGTGATTATTCACTGAGAGGAGAAACTGAACCTGCAGAAATAGGGTTTACCTTTCCTGGAAGTTTTCTTTTCTAATTTGACTCTCTCACGAGAACCTATTGTGTTCTTAGAATCAAAGAAGTTATTAGCCCTTTGTCAAATCTCAGTTTACTCGTAACCTTTTAGCCTCATTGCCTGAAATACACTTCTTTTGTCATTTGTAATACTGTGATTGTTGTGTTGATCATATTTTGTTAGCATGTAAAAAATAACATAATCCTAACTAGGTCCCCTCATACGGAGGTGGTAAAGGTTTGACCATAACTGGATGCTGCTTGACAGAGACCAGTCTCTCCCCTTTGTGAAAACCAGGATAACATACTGTCCAAAGACTGACCAAGGTGCCTTCTCTCACAGAAGCACATCTTTCTGTGGCTGCTTTTCTTCTCGGTTTCCTTTTATCCCCTACTGATGGCAGCCAGGCTCTGAGACCTTGGTTCTGTTGTTCTGTGTAGTAAATGGGCTGGTTTCCTCAATTTATGAGATAGCCAGCTTTAAATTTGCCAAGTTGAGCCCACATCACCACAGTACTGCTTTTCATCCTCTGTCTTTCCTCTTTATAGAGCAGGTATCTGGAGAAGCCCATGGAGATCGCTCGGATCGTGGCCCGGTGCCTGTGGGAAGAGTCCCGCCTCCTCCAGACTGCAGCCACTGCAGCCCAGGTGAGGCCTGGGGGAAAACAGGTGCCATGGAAGCGCGCTTGCTTCCTTGAGCACAAAGATAAACTCACTCTCAGATGGTCATTAGGGTGCCCACTGACCTCCAGGATAGAAGTGGGTGCTTTGGGTTTTTAAGTTTTCTGTTGGATTGTTAGAAGTCATGACTTTTTTTTTCTGTTTTTCAAGCAAAAAAAATGTGTCATGACTTTTCCAACAACCAAGTATAATGGAAATAGTATTATTTCTCCCCAAGTATACAATGCATGCTCCTTTAAAAATTAAAACTGTACAGAAGTATAAGAAAGTTTTTTTAAATTCTGAAATATCATTCCCTTTCATTATCTCTCGCCCCAAGAGACCAACATTAATCACCAGTATATATTCACTCTCGAGGATCACTTGAACTATAGAAAACCCACACACAGACACAACATTTAAATGGGTTTACTTCTCTGCATCTTGATTTTTTCATTAATAGTATAAATCTTTTTCATTAATAGTATAAGTCATTAATAGTGTAAATCTTTCTAAGTCAAGCAGTATAGAGCCAACTCAAAATACTCTGTGGCGGTGATTTGCTGTAACTTGTTCAGTCACCTCCCCTTTGATATGTAGTCATTTCATTCAGATTGTTTTCCATTATAGATACCACTGCAGTGTCTGCCTATATATCTTGATGTACTGATGCTTTTCATTTTGCTAGGATAAATTCCCAGAAAGGAGTTGCTAGATCAAACTGTGTGTGTGTGTGTAAATATATACGTATATATGTATATGTATATATGTATATATATATTTGTATTTTTATATATGTATATATTTATATATATACATACATACACACACACACATATCATATACATATTCTTAATTTTATACGTAGTTCTGGATTGCTTTCCACAAAGGCTGTAATAGTTCACATTTGTTCCAGAAGAGTATGTTATTGTGCTGTTTTGGGGAGCCATCTTGGAGATAGGTTGGAATTGAACCATTGGGTTCTTATGCGTTTCTCTTTTGTAGTTAAATTTGAGGATACCCTCAATAGAACTGCAGATAAATTATTATTAAAATATACTAAAATACTTTTTTGCTTTCTCTCAGGGTTTTATTTTCATATACTATAATCAAGACAATGTTTTCTTTTCTAAAATTGTAGTAAAATACATACAACAAGATTTACCATCTTAACCATTTTTTAATGGTTTACCATCTTAACCATTTTTTAATGTCCTGCTCAGCAGTCAGATTTATTTACATTGTTATATAACCCATCTCCAAAGCTCTTTTCATCTTGCAAAACTAAAATTGTACCTACCCTCCCCCCATAACTACCATTCTACTTTTTGTCTATGGATTTGACTGCTCATATTCCTAATGTGTTTGTCTTTTTTGTGACTTCACTTAGCCTAATGTCCTCAGGGTTCATCTAGGTTGTAGCACGTGTTAGAAATGTCTTCCTTTCAAATGCTGAATACTGTCCCGCTGTGTGTACATACCACCTTTCGTTTGTCCATTTATTGTGGATGGACATTTAGCAGTGTCCATCTTTTGGCTATTGTGAATAATGCTGCAATGAGCACAGTGTACATTTTTTCACTTTTAAAAGGTAAAATTGTATCAGAACATGGAAGAAAGAATGTGTGAGTTTAAGTGAGGAGTTGGGGAAGGCATCAGAGAGAAAGGAAAGGTAGTGACTGAGTTGGGACTTCAGGCAGATGAGAAGAGAGAACTGCAGGTAGACAGAAGGTCGTGTTCAAGCAGGGAATCAGAGCACCTGTCTTCTTGGGATCAGTGTGGAAAACTCAGCCTGGCTGGGTCGGGGAGGACAGTTTAAGTTAAGGACTGCATCATGAAAATCTTTTGTTTTTAAGTCATGCCTTGCAACTCGACCTTGGAAGAACAATTTACACAAGGGCCCTGGGGACCAGACTAGCAGAACCCATAGCCTTGTCATGTGCTGTGTAAACCTAGGCAAACTCTCTCTGCCACCCTCCAGTGGCAATGCCAGTTCCTTGGAGGGCTGGATCAACTCATATATAAAATGCCTAGAAGAGTTCCTGACACACATGTGCAAAATGTTAACTACTTTTTGCTGCTGCTCTCATCATCATTGCCACTATCACCACTACCGTAGGAAATGGGACCCACTAAAGAATTTTAAGCAGAAATGGATAGGCTTAGATGTGGTGAAGGGGAGCTGATTTCACTCACCGTTTGAGAACCTGCAGATAGGGAGGTGAGCAGAGCTGCTTATTTGTGCATCATGGGGGTTCTCTGTTGTGGACAACCTTTGCTTTCATCTTGACATATAAGATCAACATACTCACTGTAAGGAGATTTGGACAGAGGCTCCTCCATTGCTGGGAGAGGGTAGGAAAGAAGATGTCAAGAGGATGTTTCTAGTCATGTATATCGGGGTTAGCAGACTATGCCCTGGGTCATGTCCACCCTGCCGCCTGTTTCTATAAATGATGGGTATTGAAATATGCCCACACGCTTGCTCTTGTAGGCATTGGCTGTGGTGCTTTCATGCTGTGGTAGCTCAGTTTCTACCACAGAGACCATCTGACCCAGAAAGCCAAAATTATTTACCACTAGGACCTTAGGAAAAAAAACTTGCAGCCCTCAACCCAGGCCTCACTGTTAGTTTATCTGTTAAACTCTGGTATAGTCTTAAGTCTCATCTAAGGGTAAAGCACCGGGAGCTTGGAAGATGAATGGATGTGATACCTTCTAGCAGGGCTCTTGATCTGGTTGGGATGAGTGGTGCAGATACTCAAAGTGACAACAGCATGGAAGAGAATGTCAATAACATTGCTGGGTAGGTTGAGCAGGTTCCACAGGAGAGCAAACATTTGCATGGAGTCTGAGTGGATGAGTTAGGGTGCACTTGGACAGAAGCATGTGCCAGGCTGAATGGACATCGTGTGGGGAGCTAGAGCATGAAAATGTAGGGGAAGAGTAGGTAGTTTGGGGAGACTGAAGCATAGGGGAGGAGAGGTTGAAGTTGTCATCAGATTGTGTTATCATATTCTGTGCTGGGCTGAGATGTTTATACCCAGAAGCAACAGTTCTTGCACAGGTATTAGAGGTGGGTTCTGTGGGTGATAATGATATTCCCCTGCCCCCCTTCTGTATTCTACCAATTGAGAAGTAGACATGGCCTTGAATAGAGATTAAAAAACTCTTGCTGTGTTATTGGTCAAGCAAGTCTGAGAAGCATGGCTTGGATGGTCAGCAGAGAGGCTTTTTGATGCCTGAGTTAGATCTTGGGGTGCAGAGTAGCACTTACCGAGTCATCCATACGGAGCTTCAGAGACCACTGAATGGAGAGATCTTAGTGGGGCTTCAGAACTGCTTCTAGAAACCAGGCCCTTGCTACTACTCCAAGTGTGTACCAGAAGGCAAGTTGGATGGAGAGAGGCCCAGCTGGAAAGTGCCAGGTTCTCCAGTGATCTCAGAGTCTTCTCCTAATCTCACAAATCAGCTGAGTCACTGTGAGGAAATAAATATGGGTGGAGGCCACCTTCCCAGCTCTCCTAAGGGAAGTTTGTATTTTGTGGGCTTAGAGAGGGCCCGTGGGAGAGGGAGATGATGGTTCCCTCAAAACTGGCATGTTCAGATCTACTTTGGAAACTTCTGGTAGCAGCATAGAGAACAAATTGGAAGTGACAGATTATTGGCAAAGGCCTCAGCAGGTGGGGCATGAACTGTCATTATATCTAGAGATTGATTTGAGAGATTACCGAATATGGAGGCAGGAGAATTTGGTGACTCAGTGTGAAATCAAAGTACTGAATGTTTCTAACTTGGAAGACTGGGTATGTCATGTCTTCCTGAACTCTCAGTTCTGTCCCATTAATTGATTTCTCTCCTCATACCTGTAACACACTGTCCTGATCACTGTCCTTGGCTTTGTCGTCAAAGGATGTCCTATTATTTCACAACATGTATTTTAAGTTTCACCTGCTATTTGACCTTTTCACGGTACCAGCGTCCCCTTCTTCTCTCCAAAGAGAATATCTACATAGGAATTTCCTTGCTGAGACAGAGTGGTTTTTTCTTATCCTGTAGAAATATATTGATCACCATGTTTAAATAGGGACCCAACATCTGCTGTCATGAATGGTTCTGAATTTTTTCACATACTTACCTAGAATGAGCTTTGAAGGCAGGGACCATGTCTTAGCTCAGCATGCTGTCTCCTGGGGGCCTCAAAAACTGGGTTTATAGTCTGATCTAGATGTAAAAAAAAAACAAGGATGCAGGTAGCACCGCGTTGGCGCTTCCTGGACACCACGGTGGCAGCAGCACCATTGGCCACACAGTTAGTGGACAGGGAGGGATGGGGACTGGGCACAGGTCTTCCTCGCCTCATGTATCCTGCCTCCACTTGTGTGTTGGCTTCCTTTTTGGCAGCAAGGGGGTCAGGCCAACCACCCCACGGCCGCTGTGGTGACGGAGAAGCAGCAGATGCTGGAGCAGCACCTACAGGATGTTCGGAAGCGTGTCCAGGTGAAGCAAGTGTCGGGTGGGAAGCCTGTACTGGGGGGTATTGCCTGTGGGTCCTGCGTGGGTCTTCTTTGAGGTTTTGGCTTTGTTTTAATTCTTCTTAGAAACTTTCTTTTCCCGTTCCCCAGAAAACTCCTTTTTACTTCTGGTTCTGTTTTATTTGTTTGTTTGAAACAGGATCTAGAACAGAAAATGAAAGTGGTGGAGAATCTCCAGGATGATTTTGATTTCAACTACAAAACCCTCAAGAGTCAAGGAGGCAAGTGAATATTAGACATTGCAACCCCCTATAGAAAGTGAGTGTGGGGTCCTTGAGCTCAGGGCTTGTGTGTCTCACCTTTGCATTTAGTCTTTTTTTTTTTTTAAAGATTTATTTATTTATGCATACAAGAGCTCGGGTATAGGCCAGAGTTGTGGGGGGTAGGGGGATGAGAGGGGTGAGAGGATTCACCAGAGACAGCAGGCAACAGAACAGGCAGATCGACTGAAATACACTGCTGAGGGGAGCAGCGGGCGAGTCAGGAGAGGTCTGCTGCGCCGTGTAGGTCAGCTTCATGCCGCAGTGGCTGAAGATAAGTTTGATAGCACTGAGATTTTAACCCCTTGTGCCACCAGGGAGGCGCCCTCTGTGTTCAGTCTTGGTGGGGTGCTCAGGGACCTTTGGTGCTTAAGGAGCCTTATTGCAAAGGGTCAGCGTATTCCCTCGGTCAAGGTTTCCCTTCCTCCACAGACATGCAGGATCTGAATGGAAACAACCAGTCAGTGACCAGGCAGAAGATGCAGCAGCTGGAACAGATGCTCACTGCACTGGACCAGATGCGGCGGGTGAGCCTCTGCCCACCCCGGTTCCCCTGCGTGTCGCTCACCTGTGGGATCTTGGCCTCTCCTGGCAGAACTTGCCTGGCTTCTAGTTAGTTCCTTCTCTGGGACTAACTGAAGAATGTGGTTAGAGACCGTCTGTTTTCTGACTTTGTTTTGGTTTCCAACCAGAGCATTGTGAGTGAGTTGGCGGGGCTTTTGTCAGCCATGGAGTATGTGCAGAAAACTCTCACAGACGAAGAGTTGGCAGACTGGAAGAGGCGGCAGCAGATTGCTTGCATCGGAGGCCCTCCCAACATCTGCCTAGACCGGCTAGAAAACTGGTAAAAGAAGACAGAGAAATCTTTCCTTTCTTTCTAGAGAGTTGTACAAAATGATGGGCCTAACTGTAGGCCCAGAGAATTGGTTCTGTATCTCAAAGGTGGGGACTTTTCTATATTCAGATTTAATCTAAGAGTTAAAGCTTATTTACTTCATTTAGATATTTTTTTCAAATAGAAACTTATTTCTATTAGTATTTTTATTTTATAAGGGGAAACACTTCAAATATAGAAATTAATAAAGAGAAGAAAAATCTCTTTTTTTTTTAAAAGATATATTTTATTTATGCATGCAAGAACTAGGGTGTAGGCCAGAGATGCAGGGAGTGAGAGGATTCACTAGAGACAGAGTGAGGAGCAGAACAGGTGGACTGACTGAAATACACTGCTGAGGGGAGCAGCGGGTAAGACATGAGAGGTCTGTTGTGCCATGTGGGCAGCTCTCTGGCTGGGGATCAAACTCATGCCACAGTGGCTGGCAATAGCTTGATAGCACTGAGACTTTAACCCCTGTGCCACCAGGGACGCCCAAGAAGAAACATCTCTTAAAATCAAATCATCCAGCAGTAAACTTTTGGTGACCATCACTTTAGACAGCTGTAATTGTTCATAAACATACAAAGAGAAAAATCTATACATTTCCACCTTAGTAGGATCATGCTTCATATGCTCTTCTACAATTAGCTCTTTTCCTTTCATTCATTCAGCAAATCTTTATGGAAACTAGGAGAAACTTGGCATGAAGGAGAGCCCAGATACATGAAATTGGAAATTTAGGACAACTCTACCTTAGAGTGCCTGTCTGCTCATATCCTCACTAACTCTTGAGTTTTGTTAATTTACTGAAAGCAGGTTAAGTGCTTTCTGATGAGGGGACCTAAAAGCTCCTGTTTGAGGAATGAGAGAATGTAAGTGCTAGAAGGGAGTCAGGAGTCCAGAAGTCTCAGCTGTTGCCCGCCCTGACCTTTCACCCTCTCTTTGAGGCCATTTAGTCTTTGTTGAACTTGTGTTAGACCATCAAAGGGAGACGCTGGTAATATTCTCTGTTCTTAGGAATAGGCCTAACCAGGCTTTGTGTCCCTGTCCACTCCTACATGCATGTTATCAGGATGCTGCAACAGAATGTCATGTCATATCCAATGAAGGTTGACATTGGAAGGCCTAACAAGGGGAGCAGACCAGGGACACTGAGGCCTGTGATGTGAGGGGCCTGGCCAAGCCCGCAGGTAGTGTCAGAGCTAGCTCACACCCTCTTCTTAGACTGTTTTTTCCTCCAGATACCAGGACAAGTTGAGAAAAGTGAGCGCCAGATCCTCTATGGTGGACTCCACAGCTGGGGCCTAATGCTTGTCACTTTCCCGTGATAGCTCCCTGAGTGCCTCCTTGTGGTATAAGTTTTATACCTAGCAGTATAAATTCTTCCTCCATGCCCACTCCCTCTTAAAATGTAAACATTTTAAGAAAGAGCTATAAAAAAACCAAAATAAATTTCCCATTTCTTATATAATGCCACTGAATGCATACTGTGTATACACTTAGGAATGGTACATTTTTTGCTATGTATATTTTACCACAATAAAAAATCCCCTCTTAGTGGAGGGGGCTGCATCATGATGTTTACATCTATGATATTCTCCTTCTCCAGTTCTTCTGTATACACTCACTTACTTAGGTAACTTCATTTATTTTTTTATTGGTAGGATAACCTCATTAGCAGAATCTCAACTTCAGACCCGCCAACAAATTAAGAAACTGGAGGAATTGCAGCAAAAAGTTTCCTACAAAGGGGACCCCATTGTACAGCACCGGCCAATGCTGGAGGAGAGAATTGTGGAGTTGTTTAGAAACTTAATGAAAAGGTAACTAGAATCCCTCCCCGCCCCCCCATCAGAGACTGGCTCACCTCAGAGGATTTAGACACACTAGGGTGCACCGCCTGGTGTGTGAGCTGCTGCCACTCTCTTTCCCTTCCAGTGCCTTCGTGGTGGAGCGGCAGCCCTGCATGCCCATGCATCCCGACCGGCCACTGGTCATCAAGACTGGGGTCCAGTTTACTACAAAAGTCAGGTGGGCTTCCACACTTCCTCTTTGGGTAGCTGCTCTATTAAGGCTCTCTCTTTGCTCGGTAGCTGAGGTGGGGGCCCGGGTGGTTCATCACAGGCTTCCTGTGCATTACGATGGTGGGGATGGAATTTGGTGGCATGATCCTGGCTCTTTGGTTCTTATATCAAAAACTCATGAGTGGTAAAGTTTTGGAGGTGATCCGGGCACATCCCTGTGTTTCCAGGCCTAGAGCCTTAGGCCACAATGTCTCCAGCCCTGCAAAAGAGGCAAAGTCATGCCAGTCATTGAATTTTCTTTGAGCCAACTTTTCCTTGAGGATTTCAAGGGAAAGAATAAGACTTAGTGACACTGAAGCTCAGAGACCACAGAGCAGGTGGGAGATGGGACTGTGTGAGTGTTACTTTCACACCCAACTCAAAGCAGGTATTTTGGGGTAGCCCTTCCGCAGTACGGTTTCTCTCTTTAGATACTCAGTGTGCTCTTGAGTTTCAGGGTCAATAGAAAGAATACCAGCTGCAGCTCATGTGTTCTTGTAATCTTTTCCATAGAGTGACTTTTACTTATTATCCTTTTATGACTCTCTCACAACTTGGTCCAAGTTCCTTATTCTTAGGCTTTTTTTTTTAAAAGATTTATTTATTTATGCATATAAGAACTGGGGTACAGGCCAGAGGTGCTGGGGTTAAGAGGATTCACCAGAGACAGAGTGGGGAACAGAACAGGTGGATCTACTGAAATACACTGCTGAGGGGAGCAGCGGGTGAGACAGAGAGGTCTGCTGTGAGACAGGAGAGGTCTGCTGCGCCATGTGTGTATCTCCCTGGCCGGCCGGGAATCGAACTCATGCTGCAGAGGCTTCAGATAGCTTCACAGTGCTGTGCTTAACCCCTTTGCGCCACCAAGGAGGCCCTCTTAGGCTTTGTTTTAGTATCTTTTATCCTGAAGGGGCGATGCTCAACTTAGAATCAGAGACAGCACTGGCAGGAGGAGCGATCTGTGATTTATTTACCTCTTTAGAAGTGAAGAATTAATGGATTTCATATTTCTTCAACCATATGGTAACTGGGGGGAGCCTGCTGATGTTCTTTTAAACTGGAGTTTTGTTTTTCTTTGCTCAGAATTTTTTTTCCTTTTTTGAAATAGATTGCTGGTCAAATTCCCCGAGTTAAATTATCAGCTTAAAATTAAAGTGTGCATTGACAAGTAAGTACACCTTATCTTAGCTCTGTCTTTAGTTTTTGCAAGTGAGAGCAAAATGAGAACTTTGACAGATGTCATGTGGCCTGAGGGGCTTTATCTCCATTCAGAGATCTTCATTTTTTGAACAAAAGTTTTCAAAAGCCTTATAGTGTGTTGTCATTACGTGCCTGAACAAACCACAAAGTCGGTGGCAAAGATCTGAGTTGTGATAGCTGTTGTGACCTTGAATCCCTCTTTTTCTTTATTTAGTTTTTTTCTTATAAATGTAGTTTATTCATATTATGCAAAACAAATGTGTGGGAAAGATGAACTCTTTTTTTATTACTCCATACCTCACCACTTTTCAAAACCTGACAGTGCTTCTCAAAAATTAAAACAACGTATCTTTTGAAGAGATAAGGAAAGAGAAAATGTATGTTTATTTTTAGGTGACTTATTTATCAGGGACTTTCATTAGTGTGAACTGGAAAATAATTACTAAATTGCTAAGGAAATAACAGACCCAAGGAAGGTGGTAGTTTTAATAAATAAGCAAAAGTTAATAACTACATGTACTGGTATTAACCAATTATAAATTGTAATAGAACAAATGAGTTTTGCAATGAGTAATAAAAGTAACAAATATAGCAAAAATATTTAAGATCTGTTTGAAGAAAACCATGGAGTTTCAAGGAGAAATGGATATTTTGAAAAGTGATGAGACAAATCATATTCTGGATTGCAGACTTTTTATTATAAAGGAGCTCATTTCTTCCCAGTTAATACAACACCAAACAAAATATGAAAAGGATTTTTTAAACCCGTGACTTGATTTTCAAGTTGTATCTCAAGTGAAAAAAACAAAGATAGCAAAAAAGAAATTTATTTTTACTTATAGTAGAAAAAATTAAGATGAAACTCGTGGTCTTAACCATTTTTAAGTATCTGGGTCAGTAGTGTTGAGGACATTCTCATGGTTGTGCAACAAATCTCCAGGACTTTTTCATCTTGCAAAATCGAAACTATCTATTAAATAACAAATCCCTTACTTCCCTTTCCCTCCAGGCCTGGCACCACCATTCCACTTTGCAAAAATCATTTTTTAAAAATAAATAAAAATAATGGGACAAGATGTGGGAAGCTACCCTGCCAGATACTAAAACATATGACTAAGTTTCAGTTACTAAATGAATGTCTTAGTAGGGCAGGAATAAAGTGGGTGATGATTAAAACAAAATCTGAAGTCCATAAATAGACTTCAAGTTTCTGTAAGGAAATGTATGTTCACAAGCACACCTGAAAAATCAGTGAGTGAGGAAAGGGTGGATCATTCAATAAAGTAATGTTGGGACAACTTGATATTGGGTGAATTAAGAATTTTACTTTTACTGTCCATCAGAATGAAGTCCAGATGTATGTACATGTTTAAAAGCATGGGTGAATGTGAGGGATAAGGTGGTAAAATGACAAAATGGCATAACCACTTTGAAAAAGTTTGGAAATGTAAATAGTTAAATACGCCCCTATCCTGTGGCCCAACCATTCCACTCCGAGGAATTAATCCAAGAGAAGTGAAAGCATATATCCAGACAAAGGGTTGTATGCAAATGTTCATTAAAAGGTAGCTGCCCACTCACAGGTCAACGGATAAACAGCTGGTGGTGTATTTCATTCCATGGAATGTTACCAACATCCTGGAATAGGGCCTTGATACATGAATAAATCGCAAAATAATTATGTTGAGTGAAAGAAGCCAGACCAAGAATAAAAAATGTACACTATATATTTCCATTTATATAAATTTTAGAAATGCACATGAATCTATAACCGAAAGCAATTCAGTGTTGTCCTGTGACATGGGGCAGGGAGGTGTGGCTCAGGAAATGGATTACCAGTGGGTATTCGGAAACTTTGGGGGTTATGGATACATTATCCTGACCGTGCTAATGATTTCATGGGTGTGTCTAGTACATATACATATGTACGTGTATAAAGACACATTTATTAAGTCATCAAATTATACATTTTAATAGTACAGTTTATTGTTTATCAGTTATACATCAAAGCTATGATACAAAAAAGGGTTAAAAAAGAAAATATAGATAAAAAATTCATCTGTCTTAATCTGTAAACCCACATGGAACATACTTCTTAATAAATAGTTGTTGCTATTAATTCTAAAAGCATAAGGGAATCCATAGTGACAGAGAAGGACTTTTTAAAAAAAGTTTTATTTTTATTTATGCATATAAGAACTGGGGTATAGGCCAGAGGTGTGAGGAAGGTGAGAGGATTTACCAGAGATAGAGTGGGGAGCAGAACAGGTGGATCTACTGAAATACACTGCCGAGGGGAGCAGCGGGCGAGGCAGGAGAGGTCTGCTGTACCATGTGGCCGGGGATCCATTGAACTCCTGCCACAGTGGCTGGCAATAGCTTGATGAGACTTTAATCCCTGCACTACCAGGGAGGCCCAGAGAAGGACATTTTTTTTTTTTTTTAACAGTACTCAAATAATAAAATGAAAGAAAAGGGAAAGACTGAGAGATGTGACTACATAAAATACTCTCTATTCAAAAACACAGAGTCAAAAGGTAGTCAACACGCTGGGAAGGAAGAATCTTTCCTGCTCTATCATAGGGGCTGCTCTGAGTTACAGGTAATAGTAAACCTTAACAGAAAACCAAGCCAGTGTGGATGAAATAATAAGGAAATTTGCAACCCTGTATAACTGGAAATGCAGTGAGGGCCCATTCCTGGTGGTGAAGTCGGTGACTCACTAATGGCATCAAGGACCCAGAGCCTTCGACTCTGTGGCCTTAAGTATCATCTGGTTCTGTGGTTCCCTTCCGGGTTGCAACACAATTGCTTGTAGCTTTCAAGGCGACAGGACTAATCCCAGCCTGGGGTGTAGTTCCTTCCTAGGCTGTTAGAGGCATGTAAATCAGTGTTCTCATCACCCTGTGCCATTATGCTGGGGGCTTACTATGTGCTGATGGACTTAACCCTCAGGATCCCCTGGAGGTGGGGAGGTGAAGGATACCTTAGTTGGATCAAGGTCCTGCTAGCAAAGGGGAGCAGATGTCAGGTAGGCAGCCAGCTATGTTTATGATTTAAGCATGTACAGGGTGGTTATATTTAACATCTAAAATGTAACTGAATAGTTTGCAGAATTGTCCAGGAGCACAGCAATTTGTCCATGAGCCTGAATAACAGGTGGTCAAAGTAGACTGTTGGAAAACACTCGGTGCCTGTTTGTTAACACTGATTTGTATTCTTAACAGAGACTCTGGTGACGTGGCAGCTCTCAGAGGGTAAGTTCAGCCTGAAGGCTTCCTTGTGCTCTGTTTAATCTAACTCCGTCCTCTGGCCACTCGGTCACCTATGTGATTGTTTGATCTTCCTTGATTCAGATCCCGGAAATTTAACATCCTGGGCACCAACACAAAGGTGATGAACATGGAAGAGTCCAACAATGGCAGCCTCTCCGCAGAGTTCAAGCACTTGGTATGGGGAGAAGCCTGCCCCCCTTCTCCGTGCACGTGGCAGAGGGAGAGATTAGGGGAGTCCCCACTGACAGGTGTTCTTTGCTTTTCTTGCAGACCCTGAGAGAGCAAAGATGTGGTAACGGTGGCCGAGCCAACTGTGACGTAAGTTTTGCTGGGAGGGAAAGTGAAGTGGGAGGGTTTTCATTGAGGGGGAGAGAAAAAGGGCCCTCACACTGCCCAGAATTAGAGATGGCAGCTGTAGTCATGCAGAGAAGTCACGGCAGCCCCAGTGATGTGGCCAGATGTGGCCTCTGCCACAGAATCCTCTGATAGGAGCATTTCCCTCGTTGTCCCAGGAGTCAGCTCATCTTAAGGAGCACTGGAAAGTCCCTTGCTGGATTACCACACCCATCTGGTAGAAAAGCCTTCCACCTTGCCTGGGGCTTTCCAAATTCCCCTTCCAACATTTGCTGGCAGACACTACTTGACTCCATTTTTGGTGACCCATTTTTCTCACTGAGGTGGGTTAGAAGATTGTAACATATAGGAGTGACTGAAAAAAATAGAGGGGGCATGGGTGGGCCTAGGTCAGGAATGTGACAAGATGCTGGAGCTGCTGTGGCTGGTGCACATGGTGTGTGCACAAGTGGGGGTGAGGGTGTGCTCCCAAAATTTCACATTTATGTAAACGATTGGCAAATCAGTAAACTTTTTTGTTAGTTTGTTTTTTAAGAGAACTTTTTTTTTTTAAGATTTATTTATTTATTTATACAAGCACTGGGTACAGTCAGAAGCGCGGGAGGGTGAGAGAATTCACCAGAGCCAGAGCGGGGAGCAGAACAGGCAGACTGACAAATACACTGCTGAGGGGAGCAGCGGGTGGCCAGAGAGGTCTGCACGCCATGTGGGACCCTTGCCGGCGGCCGGTGATCGAACCGGCACTGCAGAGGCTGCAGGCAGCTTTGCGGCCCAGCCCTCAACCGCTGCGCCACTGGGGAGGCCCGAGAACTTATTTTTTTTTTTAAGATTTTATACAAGAGCTGGGGTACAGGCCAGAGACGTGAGAGACAGAGCTAGGAGCAGAACAGGTAGAAGAGCGAAATACACTGCTGAGGGAAGCAGTGGGCACAACAGGAGAGGTCTGCTGCGCCATGTGGGAATCTCCCTGGCCGGCCGGGAATCGAACCCACGCTGCAGAGGCTACAGATAGCTTCACTGCGCTGTGCTCAACTACCTGTGCCAAAGGGGAGACCCGCTTCTTTGTTTTTTAAATCCAAGTTAAGGATTAAAATGAATGAGAAAGAAAACCTGTCTTGTTCTTTAATTCCTCTTATTTCTTCTTTACTACCTCCCATTGATTCAGATTATTGGGTTCTTAGTATCAAGAATAAACTTAAATAGGTAAATGCAACCAAAACTAGTTTTTAATCTTTTTAAAAAATTGTAACATTCCATTCTTTTTCTGATATTTGTCCTCTGAGCTGTACTTCCTTCTCTAAAATATAATAGGTCTTTTAAAAAAATAAATTGACTTTTAATACTTGACAGTCATTAGAATGAGATGTAGTCTATATACAATGATATGGAAAAATATATGTTGCATATTTGTTTTGTAAAAGCAAAATGCAAGAATAATTTGAGTACAAAGTGTATTTGTTCTAAAAACACACCACAGGGGGCCTCCCCGGTGGCGCAGCGGTTGAGCGCTGGGTTGCGAAGCTGCCCGCGGCCTCTGCGGCTCCGGTTCGATCCCCGGCTGCTCCCCGGCCACCAGAGGAGGGTTCCACATGGCGCGCAGACCTCTCCTGCCGCCCGCTGCTCCCCTCAGCAGTGTACTTCGGTCCTTCTGCCTGCTCTGCTTCCCGATCTGGCTCTGGTGAATTCTCTCACCCTCCTGTGCTTCTGACTGTACCCAGTGCATGTATAAACAAAACAAACAAACAAATAAAGAAAGAAAGAAATAAAACATGCCTCTATTAAAAAAAAATCTTTAAAAAAAAAAAAAACAAAAAAAAAAAACACACACCACAGGGCCTCCCCGGTGGCACAGCGGTTGAGCGCTGGGTTGCGAAGCTGCCCGCGGCCTCTGCAGCGCCGGTTCGATCCCCAGCTGCTCCCCGGCCACCGGAGGAGGGTCCCACATGGTGCGCAGACCTCTTCTGCCGCCCGCTGCTCCCCTCAGCAGTGTACTTTGGTCCTTCTGCCTGCTCTGCTCCCCGCTCTGGCTCTGGTGAATTCTCTCACCCTCCCGCGCTTCTGACTGTACCCAGTGCATGTATAAACAAAACAAACAAACAAACATATAAATAAATAAATAAAACATGCCTCTATTAAAAAAAGAGTAAAAAAAATAAAATAAAATAAAAACACACCACAGTTTTATGTTTTCATGAATGCATTAAATAATTTGAGAGGAATTTATACCAGACACTGCTTATGTATTCGTGCTGCTCTTAGTATGTGAGGCTACTCTATACCATGTCTGTAATATTTGCATTCTACACAGAATGCATATTACTTTTTCAGAAAGAAATGTTTTAAAAATGAATTGGAATTCTGTTTCTGAGAATTCTTTGGTAATTCTTGTGCTGTATTGCTCGTAAAGTATAAATTGATATATTTGGCATTTAAACATGGCATTATAAATGTGGCATTATAAAAATGAACATACCTGGTAAGTTAACCACTCCCAGGATTTGACAATAAAGAAATCTTTGCACATTTCTGTCAGAAGACATGAACAAAATGTCACTGCAGCCTTATTGTAAGTCTCAACATAACCTGAACTAACACCCATTAACAATAGAATGGGTCATTGAGTTGTGGTATATCCTTAGGATGGACTACTACACAGCTGTGGAAAGGGATAAATTGCAGGTCTCACAACTGCATGGATGTGAAAGTGAGCGTCAGAAGAATGGATAAGCCATAACTCCATGCATATAAACTTCACAGAGACCCAAATCTACATACATTGTTCAGAGACATAAATGTGGCAAAACTATAAAGAAAGGCTAGGAATGGTAAATCCAAAAGGCAAAATGGAGTAGTTACATCTGAGAGAGGCGGTCAGGGCTGGGCCCGGGGATGGGCACCTGGGGACTCACAGTGACGGTGTTTCCTTAACTGGCGCTGTGTGCACAGGTGTTCATTGTTTTCTTATCTGTGCCTTATAACTAACCTATTGGACCCCTGTAATATAATAAAAGCAGTAATAGATCAGGTTTAGGATCATAGCGTGAGTCTCGTGTTGAAGAGGACAGGTGTCTGCGTTCTGCTCATGGCACTTTGTCTGAGGCAATGTGGCTGTGGCCTGTCACTCTCAGCTGGGGCCGTTGGCACCAAATGTCATTCTCATTCTTGTAGGCCTCCCTGATTGTGACGGAGGAGCTGCACCTGATCACCTTTGAGACTGAAGTGTATCACCAAGGCCTCAAGATTGACCTCGAGGTAAGTTCTACCTTAGGGGGCTGGGGGTAGGACCACGTGCAGAGGTGACTCAGGGCAGGAATGTCTAGCTGGGCTTTTTACAGCAGAAGGTGGAGTGCTGGCACTTGATGAAGCGTGCTCTCTGTCTCTCTCTCTCTCTCTCTCTCTCTCTCTCTCTCTCTATATATATATATATATATATATATATATATTTAAAGGAAAAAACCCTTACTATCCATTTGAGAGCAAAGTCTTATTTGAATACTAGAATGACACATGTACTCAACTTTCAGCCAACTTGATAAAAATTATATTTATAAATTGATTATAGGGCCTCTCTGGTGGCACAGGGGTTAAGTCTCAGTACTAACAAACTTTCGCCAGCCACTGCAGCATGACATGAGTTTGATCCTCAGCCAGGGAGCTGACCCACATGGCATAGCAGACCTTTCCTGTCTTGTCCGCTGCTCTCTTCAGCAGTGTATTTCGGTAGATCCGCCTGTTATATGCATAAATAAAATAAATCTTAAAAAGCAATTGATTTTAGTTGACTTTATAAAGTTTGGGCAAAAGTCTTTAACCAGTCAGTGTTTTTAGTATATAGAAAATCATGCATTCTCTTTTCCCAACTTTTTTGATCTTTAAAGAGATCAAAGTGGGAATGCTAGTCTTTTGGGACCTTTGTCCAATCCACAGCTTGGATTCCTGGAGAATGCCTTCCAGGTTTTACAAGGTGAGGGCTGGGGGAGCTGTGCCTTGTGAATCCATCTTTGGGCAAGTCAGATGTTACAGGTGCCTGGTGATATTCAGGTAGCCCCCGAGGCCCATGGCCTGGGCTCGGCACGCCTTCCACGTGACTTGGTCACTCTCTGCCCTGAGAGTGGGTAGTAGGGTGGTTCACAGTGTGTCCTTTCATTCCGAACCATGCGAGAGATGGGTGAAGAGGTGGTAGAAGCCACGAGGCCTCTCTGCCTCTCCAGCTCATCCCCTGCTTGCTCCACAGACCCACTCCTTGCCAGTTGTGGTGATCTCCAACATCTGTCAGATGCCAAATGCCTGGGCATCGATCCTGTGGTACAACATGCTGACTAACAACCCCAAGGTGAGTGACCCGTGCCCTTGTGACTTCTGGGTGCCCAGAGGTGGTCATGCAGCTGACAAGCTCAGTAGGTCCCGCCATCTAAGTGCACAAATGTGGTTTTTTCAACAGAACGTGAACTTTTTCACCAAGCCCCCAATTGGCACCTGGGATCAAGTGGCCGAGGTGCTGAGCTGGCAGTTCTCCTCCACCACAAAGCGAGGGCTGAGCATCGAGCAGTTGACCACGCTGGCAGAGAAACTCCTAGGTGGGCCCTTTACCTCTTCCCCCTCTTGCCCACCTTAGAAAAGGAATCTGGCCTATGGGGCTAATCATTCAGGACTATTTGCGGAGCAGAATGCTGGGGGGATGTGGAGGGCGGAAAGGGGGGCTGTCAGGATGCAGAGGAAGTTTGCACCTGGTGGGGAGGAGAGCTCTTTTTTCTTGGTGGTACTTTCCCTTGCCCTTCTAGGGCACTGTTTTTTGGTACTTCTAGCCACTTACTAACCTTAGCAAGATACTTTAAGTGCATACAAGAAGTTAGTGCCAGGGGCTTGACACTCCAATCCATGAATTTGCCTCAATGCACCGTAGACTTGTTTTTAACTTTTCCCCTAGAAACAAAGTTTAGTAGTATCATATATGCACTACTTGTACTGTAAGTGGTTCTGTCCTGTGGTCCACCAGGTGTGATGCCCTCTGACACCAGTGGCTCAGCATGTGGTCGCTCCCTGGACGTGAGGGGGGAGAGCAGGAGTCCCTGAGCACATCAGCCCCACCTCTCCAGGCTAAGAGGCTGGCAGGGGTTCAATGGTGGGGTGGGGTGCACGTGTATACACACAGTGGTGACAGCCTGCACATTCATGCAACCAGTCGTTTTCCAGCCCATGCTGAAACAAATGTGCATGCATATGTTCTGCTTTAAGAAATAAGACTTGATTCAGAGCCAAAAATGATACTACTTTCTTTCCTTCAGGACCTGGTGTTAACTACTCCGGGTGTCAGATCACATGGGCTAAATTTTGCAAAGTAAGCCATCTTGTTAACTCCTGTGGTCACCTCTTAGATGTGGGAGTGGGAGGGCACACTCTCCTGAATGCCCTGGACTCTTGGATTCCTCGTCCTGTGGCCAGTGAGACCTGCCTGAGGGTTTGGGTGCCACCGTGCCCCTCGCAAAGTCGAGGCTGGAATGGTGGTGGATTTGGCTTGTCCTTTATTCTTTTCTCCAGGAAAACATGGCTGGCAAGGGCTTTTCCTTCTGGGTCTGGCTAGACAATATCATAGACCTTGTGAAAAAATACATCCTGGCCCTCTGGAATGAAGGGTAGGTTGGCACTCTACTGTCTGCAGCAAGTCACCTGCTCTCAGCAGCCAGTGGCAGGGGAACCCCCAGCCCAAACTTTGCGGTCCTTTTTGGTTCCAGGTACATAATGGGCTTTATCAGTAAGGAGAGAGAGAGGGCCATCTTGAGCACCAAACCCCCAGGAACCTTCCTGCTAAGATTCAGTGAAAGCAGCAAAGAAGGAGGAGTCACCTTCACTTGGGTGGAGAAGGACATCAGTGGTAAGCTTGGCTCTCACCCACCCCACCTGGTGGCAATTGCTGCTGCCACTGAGGCCACTACTAGTCTCAAGCACCTGCTGCCCCCTCGTGGGGAGGACTGGCCTTGCACCCCCTGCCTGGGACTCCTAATACACAGGTCACTTCTCTCTAATTCTTTCCTGCTGAAGGATTGGCTTGCCAGTTTTGTTTTGCTTGCTTCAGGGGCTATTTGCCTATAAATTTATAATTTAAATTCTTTTCTCCACCTCCTTTAACACATACCCTGATAATACACATTATGCAGGTAGTTTCTGAGTATTTTGCTTGTGAATCACCTGGATAGCCTCTCCAGAAACTGCTTGGGCATTTCCACAGCACCAGGTGACCAGGCAGGATATTCAGGGCCTCAAATACCTGCTTGACATAAGTCTTTCCCTCCTAAGGAACATAAATCAGGGGGCTTTCTCTGAGATTTCCGGCCATAGGCACCATCCGCTTTCCTTCCCATACCCCGTGACAGGTAAAACTCAGATCCAGTCTGTGGAGCCATATACCAAGCAGCAGCTGAACAGCATGTCGTTTGCTGAAATCATCATGGGCTATAAGATCATGGATGCCACCAATATCCTGGTGTCTCCGCTGGTCTACCTCTACCCCGACATTCCTAAGGAGGAGGCATTTGGAAAGTACTGTCGGCCAGAGAGCCAGGAGCACCCTGAAGCAGACCCAGGTAGTTGTTGATTTTCCACGTCAGGCGTTGGAATACGGGGGAATGTGGGAAATCGCAGGGTCCTTGGAAGACAGACAGGTAGATGCCTGCATGACCCACTGGCCTTCACTCCTCCCTAGGGAGGGACCCCCCACTTTGCACGGGTCAGTGAGGGTGGAGAAAGGAGAGGACTCCGAGTTGCAGTCTGCCCCACAGGGAGCACACCCATATAAAGGGGGAACTGCACACACACACACACACACACACACACTCACACCCCAAAACACACCTGACACATTGTGAAGAGAAAGCAAGGACAACATTCTCCCGTGCCCAGATGCCCCGCTAGCAGGGTGCTGCTTATGCCGCAGACGCTGGGAGGTTTGCAACGCAGACTTCAGTCTAGCATGCTTCCTCTCCCCGTCACCAAACAGTGAAGGCAGTGGCAAGTGGGACGAAGAAAGGCTCTGGAGGAAATGAGTGTTAGCAGCCTGGCACACGGTTTCAGAGCAGAGCGGGGAGAGTGGGCATGAAGGGGAAGACCGTAACTGCTGGGGCAGGGGGTTGGTAGTGAGGATGTGCAGCTGTTGGAAAGACATTTTTCATGTGCTTAGGTGTTTATGTAAGTTACATATTTTCCACTAGACATTTCCTCTCCAAGGCTGGCCTAGCATGGAGGACAGGGTCCTCCGGTCTGTTCCCATCTGCACTTGCTGTCCTGATGCTCGGGCTTCTCTGTCCAGAGCCTGATAAGGAGGCTCTGATTTGCCATCCTTTGTTGTACTTGACTTTTCTTAATCCTGGCGCCAGCAGCCGGCTCTTTAAAAGCACTCCTTTGAGGTGACCTTCCCTCTGCTGCTTTTTTAAAAACTCTATATAGAGAGTTCAAGTGTGGGCCCGTCAACTTCTCTTCTGCTTTTCATAGGAATTCCCACTAAGGAGGTCTTGGGATGGGGAGAATAGGACTTAGGCTTCGAGCTACTTGGCAATTGACTTTCCTCTCCTTTGTTCTGGTGTTGCGTTTGGTTCATACGGGGGAGAGCTTAACTCTCGTTTCCTGTCTGCTGCTTATCTCTCCTTCCACATCGAGCTTCAGTTAGGAGATCTGTTTATCAGCGCCTGTCACACTACTCTCTGTTCCTTCTGCCGAGGACTTTAGGTCCACATGCAGGGCCTTTGACTAGTTTTGCTTTCAAGATCCAGTTTCCCAATCTGAGGCTGTGAGTTCCATTGCCATCACCCCTCCTGTGTGACCAAGAGACAAGGTCCTCTCCTGCCCGGAGACCTCCGTGTTTCCTCAGGGGTGAGATGCTAACTGTGAGAAAGGAGCTGGTAACTCCAAAGCTTTGCCTGCCTCCTGGAGAGGCCAGAGTAAGACATGGACACTGAGCAGCTAGGTGGGTCTGCGAGGTGGGGGAGGGGCAAGAAAGTAAGGTGAAGCCCCCCAGGAGTTCTCAGGGGGATGGTCTGCAGCCATTCCCTCTGTTTCCACCTGGAAGGCCTTGTCCCCCAGAGATAGTGTGTCTTCCTAGATCTCTTCCCGCCTTACTTCTCCACAGAAGCCCACACAGTGTTTCCTTATGACTTGAGGGAGAAATTCCCCTCTGAGAAGTGACAAATCCTGAACCTTACAGATTGGGTCCCTACAGTGACCACCCTCTGTGGAGCCGTAAGTCGGCACAGCATCTGTTTCCTTTGGCTTTACTGTCCCTTCCCTGACTGAAGCTATTTTTCTCGGCTACCTTGATCACTGGGGAGTGAATCCTTTTCTCTTTGGGAGGTTGTCTCCCCTTAAGTCTGGGGCAAAAGGGTTAGATTTATAAGACCTCTTTATCAGGGTAACTTTGGTGGATTTGACTGAACGACTATTAAATGACAAACCCAGATGGCAGCCTAGGGTGCCCTATACTTGGCGATGCCTCTTCTCAGATTATCATCATACATTCTGAACCCCCAGCTTCTTCATAAGCGCCAAGCTTTATAACTTGCTTTTCAGGGCGCACCCCACTCCTACCCAGCCCTAAGTAAGGATTTGTTCACCCAAATCCCCCCCATTTTCATGGCAGTGTCTCCAAGTCGCCTTGACCTTGGGATAAGCATTTAGCATCTGAAATTCACGTATTCCAATCTTCACATTGCTACTGATAGAGCAGGAATTATAAGCAACAGATACCCTAGACAGCGGGCCTCTCCTCCCCCGCTCTTTAATACCTCAGCCAGAAGGTGCCTGTCTCCCAGGTCCCTTCGCTGTTGAAGACATAGACCCGTACCTCCTATTCCCAGCCCAGAGCTGACTGTACTGCACCCCAAGTCATGTTCCCCATATATAGAGGCTGCTTTTTGTGTGATGTAGTTACTCAATGTGGGGTTATTTAATACCTCGCCTCAGAATGTACTAGAAGCAGACCAGTGATGATAGTGGAAGGTGAGACCAGTGGCTTAGGAACCACAAGGTAGCAGTTTTCACATTCTCTTGGGGCATTGGTGTTTGAGCCCAGATAGTGCAGGCTCTGGCCCTGCAGGCTGATGAGCTCTCTAAGAGACACGACCGAGGGACGACTTGGCCGGCTCGAGCTCCTCAGAGCGCGTTCTGGCCCTTAAAATTTGTTAAACGGTTGCATAATCTGGGGAAAGTGTGAGCACCCGCTGGCACCGGCTCAGGAGGGACGCAGGTATTTGGAGAGTCTGCAGTTTGGGAGACCTTGGTAAAAAGAACTAAACCCCGGCCCCAAGCTGCAAGCCCCAGACTGTCAATTACATACAGGGAGGGGGAGCGGAGCCTCCAAACAGCACGTGTGTGAGCACAGGGTGGGTTTCACCTCAGCCTGGTAAGGCCACTGGTCCCCCCCCCCCCGCTGCAGCCCAGGGCGGGGGTCACAATCAGTAAGCCCCCCTGTTCTTCTTCCCAGGTGCTGCCCCGTATCTGAAGACCAAGTTTATCTGTGTGACACCGTAAGTGGCTTCCTTTCCCAGTTTTGCCTTCATTTCTGACATCCTCAGTGATCCCCGGGAATAGCGGGGTGAGCGTGACCCTGTGAAGGGTTGGAGGCCCTGGGCTATGTTTTGCACTCAAGTGACCTTGTGTGTTGAAAAAGCTTGAGCTTTTATTTTTCTGTTGGAGACCAGAGTTTGATGGCTTGTGTGTGTATGTTTTGTTTTTTTTTTCTCCATTGTGTCTTGTCAACCCGGCCCTCTCCCCTCCTGCTGCTCCCCTTTCCTACAGAACGACCTGCAGCAATACCATTGACCTGCCGATGTCCCCCCGCACTTTAGATTCATTGATGCAGTTTGGAAATAATGGTGAAGGTGCTGAGCCCTCAGCAGGAGGGCAGTTCGGTGAGTGAGTGGTTGGCACACTTTGTCCCTGTCAGGGAAACTGGTCCCCTTGCTGTGCTGTGTCCAGGGCCAAGAGCTGGTCACACGGGTTGGTTCCTACCGGGTTCCTAGCAGGTTCTAGAGCTGCATGCTCCAGTAGGGACGGCTCTCGGGCCTGAGTGTAAGTGTACGTGTTCTAGTCACCACATTAAAAACTGTGCAGAGAAATAGGTGACAATCATTTCACATTCGCAATCTTGTCACTTCAGTGTGTAAGAGAAAAGTGCTGATGTTTTTCGTACCAAATCTTTGACATCTGCTGAGTGTCTTGGGGGAGTTATCCGTGTGTCTTAGGGTGGCCCCACCTCAGGTGCGCAGTAGCCACCGTGGCTGGGGCTGCCACGTCCACAGGGCACCTCGGAGCTTTTTTAAGCGGGCATAGTTGGGAATGAGTTCAGGAAGGAAAGAGACTGAGCCGCTCTGGAGGCAGGACCCTGGAGGGAGGGTAGTGAGCCTGGATGACCCCACCTGGCTGTCACAAGGGAGACCGGGCAGCGGCCTGAGCCTCTGTCCTCTGCAGGGCGAGGGCGTGGGCCCTGCCAGATGTAGGCATCCGGCGACTGACCAGCTCCCCGTCTGTCCTCCAGAGTCCCTCACCTTCGACATGGAGCTGACCTCGGAGTGCGCCACCTCCCCCATGTGAGGAGCCAGGATGGAAGCTGCAGAGAGGATGGCGGCACCTGCCCCCGTTCCACCACCCTTAGCCGGCCACACCCCAGACCATTTGAAATGCCTAACTTTGTGGTTCCAGATTTTTTTTATCTCCTACTTCTGCTATCATTGAACAATCTGGGCACTTTTTAAAATAGAGAAATGAGTGAATGTGGGTGATACGCTTTTATCTGAATGCAAATAAGGATGCGAACTCTGAGACTGTGATGGGGGATGTGGAAGGGGCAGCAAGAAGGAGAGAAAGGAAGCGTCTCGGTCCCACCCCCCTGCCCCCCTCCAGCCCTCCTTTCTCAGCCTCTTTCTGTTGTTAGACAAGTGCCTCCCGGTGCCAGCTACGTCCCTCGCCTTCTGTAAGCGAATGCCACAGGCTGCCTCTAGCTGCATACTCCTGGCATTGCACTTTTAACCTCCTTGCTAATGTCCAAATAGAAGGTAGGATTTTCAAAGCCCTTAGGTTTCTTTTTAAATTAAAAAAAAAAAAAAAATTTAAGGGCTAAAAACACTGTATCGGCCTAGCCTTTTCTGTATTTAAGAAAACTCAGTTAACAGCCTCCTTGGTGCTTTAGGCATTCAACTTTCTTCAGGCTGATAGTTTATGTGAAGCCTAAAATGGGCTTCAGATTCAACCCTTGCAAGACACCTGAGGTTTGGCCTTTGGTTTTAAAATAGGAAGGTTTAAGGAGAACCTAAACATTCTAGACTTTTTTAAGAAGCAGAGCTATTTCCCCCTTGAATGCTGTGGGCTTGTGAGTAGGTAAGGCTGCGGGTGGGGGTGCTTGCAGCCTCACTCCCTACTCTAAGGTCCTAACACAGGACCTTAGCTCCTGTGTCAGAGCCTGGGTTGTTACTGTGGGTGCCTTATAAGGGACGGGACAATTCTTCCTTTTCCCCAACCCCCTGCCCCTCAGCCCCCTGTGGCATGTTTCCTTCAGTGTCTAAAGGTCCCTTGTCCTGTTGGCTTTAGGAATCCAGGCTGGAGACCTCCTGGAATAAGGGGGAGAGTTACAGGTGGAACCTGGCTCAGACTATGGAGCCTCAGCCGAGAGTCTAGTTGAGCTCAGGGAATATGGTTCTTATCCCAGTTTCTTGGTGATTTCCCACGGCACCTGGGACCTCGTCACGTGGTTAACCCAGGAGCAAAGGCTCACTGATAAACTCAAGGTCTGTCCCTCTTGTGAGCGAGTCACTGGCCTCCCCCGGCCAAGGCTGGTGACTGCTTCCCATCGGGGCTCCAGGATAAAGCAGAACAGCTGGCTTTTACTGTGTTCTGGAATGCTTAGCCACGTGCAGGGTGGTCTCTGATGCTGGGTCTGCTCAGACAGAGGCACATCTAGGTCCCGCACCACCTCGCTCCCTCGATCAGACTTCAATGTGGAATGCTATTTCTTAAACCCAGAGTAGCCAGTTTCTGAATTAAAGGGTGAGAACCTTCTCTCCAAGACAAGCAAGGCTTGTCCTCGGCCATCCCTGTCCCCCTGTCCAGGATGGCTGAAGAGTCGGGGCTCCCCCTTCTCCAGAGACACTCTCCTGTTCACAATAAGCTTAACTCCTAAACCGAGGGAAGGGTAGGTTGTAAGGACCTGGGACAAGGATCCGGGCTTCTCTGGAGCAGACACTGGGAAGTTCCAGACTTTTAGGTAGCATGTGTAACTGATTTTAACTGATTGTAGCAAAGGTTCTGAGAGCAGCTGAGACTTGGCCCCTCCCTGAAGGAACAGAGTCCTCCGGGACCTGCCTGCTTTCTCTTCACTGTCTCCCCTTCCCCGCCCAGCCAAGGGGTTCCCATGGGTTGCTTAACCTACCTACACAGTGGTTCGGGAGCCGCTGTCCTGGCCACTGCCTTCAAATTCCACTGTATACGTCATATGTAAAAATTTATATTATTGTGGGTTTTTGATTTTTTTTTTTTTGTATATTGCTGTATCTACTTTAAACTTCCAGAAATAAAAGTTATATAGCAACCATCTGACAGTGTGGCTCATCTGTCTTGGCTGGTGGAGGTTCCCTTGTCCTGTCTTCAGTTCTGAGGGGGCCTTACCCACAGGCCGAGCTAGAGATTGAAGAGGTGGCTGCCCCCACTCCTGGGCTGTCAGCTTGGCTTCTCATCTGATGCAGACCCATCTCTGGGGCACTTGAATACCCCCCATTTTAAGTTAACTGCCAGCCTCCACCTCCTTCCTCTGGGGCCTTTGCTTGCTGCTGGGTCCTGTTTGGGGTCAGATAAGCTACCTAAGGGGGGTTGGGTGTAAATACTCCACCCCACCCCTCAGGCCTCCCCTTCCACAGTTGGCTTCATTATCACTTTCTCTTCAGTTACTCAGTGCCGGCCAAACGTAAACACTTAACTGGCTGCTATGCTGCAGCTCTGGCAGCGGGTGATGATAATTTAGACATCAGCGCCCACTCCGCGCACTCCCTGCCCCCTCCCCTCTCACCAAGCACCATGGAGACCCAGCCGGTGTGTGCGATACCAGCGATACCAGCGCCTTCCCCTGTAGAGATGGAAGGGGAGATTAGTTCACTCAGGCAGCCGCTTTCCCTCCCCACTCACCCCTGCCAGCCCCCATTTTGGGCCCCTGAGCCTCCTGGGGGAGGCTGCAGGCCCCTCTTCCCTTGCTTTGAGCTCTAACAGAAGCTCCTCAGCAGGTTCTTGTTCCCTGCCACCCCCACCCCCAAGGATCCCTGGTTAGGGGCAGCTTGGGGTGGGGAGGGGGTCCAAGTGGGGCGAGCTGTCTTCACTGCAGCTGCCCTCCTGGCCTCAGGCAGGCCTTTTGAAAAGGCAGTGGCAGTGGGATGGTGCCACCTGCTGGTGTCTGGGAAGCAGCCGGGTGGAGGGCTGCTGAGACCCACACTGCCCCGGCCCTGGAGGGTTAAGAAGAGAATGGATGAGAAGCATCTGGGCACCACCTTGGTTGCCAACTTCCAGATCATGAGAGCAGCAGCTGGGAAGGAGAGGCCCAGACCACAGTTCTTCCCACTTGCCCCCGCCCACCCCACCCAGTCATTCCTGCTCCGTTTTTCTCAAGACCTAGTTGTCTCATCTTCTGAGAAGCACTGACAGTATTCCAGGAGCGGTCAGCACCCTTAAGACCACAGAAAAGAGATTGGTAGCTTCAGGCTACACGTGATAGCAGTAGCCACGTAGGAGGGAAGGAACAAATCCAGATCTGGGAGCCCCATTATCCAGGGAGACCACCAACAGCTCCCCAAGCCGGCAGCCAGGCCAGTAAATTTATGAAAAAAAATTTTATTCAAAAACAATGTTTACACAAATGTGTGGCCTATGTACAAAGTACAAAAGAATCCCTCTTGCCCCCACGTTCCTACGGAGATGTTTAGACCTGGGACTCCCCACCCCCTTCAGCTGCCCCTGGCTCGGTGTCAGACAGTCCCAGAGGGAGGAGCCAGGCTTTCTCAGACCACAGCCAGCCATGCAGCTGCAGTGAGGCCTATTCCAGGTTCCACTTCCCAGAGTGGAACAAAATCACCTTCATGCCTCGTCCCAGATTCCAAAGGCCCCCAGCTAGTGCCAGATGTGCTGCTTGTCTCTCGTTGCAGGTTTTATCCAGGAGATGAGGGGATCAACCCCACCAGTCTTGGGTCTCTGTTCACCCACCATGCCCTAAACCGGTCCTTACCTTCTCTCCCGTCGCAAGGGTACTAACACAGGCAAGGAAGGCAACTGGAGACTGGGTGGCAAGGGAGGGGATGTTGGGTGGAAAGAGATGGCACTAACATGGGCAGTGGCCTCATGGATCTGAAGCCCAAGCCCCCTGGCGAGAGGCCAGGAGGCCAGAAAATCTTCATACTTAAGAGTTCCTGTGACTGGGCAGAATCAGATCACCCACTTCTGCTGCATTAAAGTCACGGCGATGGCCTAGATGAGCTCTCAGTTAACAAAAAGCTGGAGTCCATATTCATTAAAGTATAAAATATTCCTCAAAACTCAACCCCAGCCTTCCTCCTGAGGGAAAGAATCAATAGACCAACATGCGTGCTCGGGATCAGCTGCACACGCATAATGCACATGCACAATGCACAAACACACATTTGGGAGGCAAAGCTGCTAACTTAGGAGTAAATCTTAAGCTCAGAGAGGCTGCCTGTCTTCATCGCTTCTTGACTAATTTCATTCAAATAGCGGCTGAGCAGACAAAGGCCCTGGCAGGAATAGGCTGGCAGGCATCGAGTACTTGCAACAGCAGAGGTAGCACCATCTCTCCTGCTGCAGAGGCAGGCCCAGCGGGCTCCTGGGTGGCCCGGTTCTGGAGGAAAGGCAGCCGTGGCTGCTGTAGCCACACCCGGCACACCCGATATGCGCGAGCGCGCACACACACAGGCACACACACAGGCACACACAGGCACACACAGGCACACATCACTGTGCTGCTGGCAGATGACACCTAAGTGCACAGCAAAACTAAGACCACGATTAACCCGAACCCTTCACATTAAGCATTATTTCCCCGGAGAAGTGTAGGCTCCAAACGTTCAGGACAGTGAGCCTCTGGCCGAGGTGAAGAGACCAGCAGGCGGGGAGAGGCGGGGGTCCAGGCTGTCGATCGGGCGGCGCAGGAGCTCCTCCACGTGGCGCGCCACGTCCATGGTCTCGTCCAGGTCGAAGTCTCCATCTTGGTCCAGGACCGGGTCAGGGCTGGTAGAGAGGGGGATGTCACAGGGGCCAGTGCTTCCCAGTCGTTGCCTCCTCCACACTCGAGCCAGAGCTCATGGGAACAGGACCAGCTCTGGCTGGGCCCCCATGCTGTTAGTCACGGCTCTTTGGGAGACAGCTGAGTTCTAGCCCTATCTCCCGCCACCTCATTGAGTGACCTCAGGGAACTCACGGCCTTCTCCCTGTCCTCATCTGTAAGACCAGGTGACTGGGTCCTGACCTCTGCCCTCCTGTGACACTGTTCCGGGAAATCCTAGGCGCCATGCACTGAGTCCCTACCATAGTCGCGGCCTTTAGCCACTCCCATTCTCACGGACACCTCTAAGGTAGGTGTTTACTCCACTTTGTAGAGGGGGAAGCTGAGGCTTAGCCATGTTAAAAAAACTTGCTAAGGGCAACCTGACTGGTAGGAGCCGTTGGGATGGGAACTCTGGGCCATGCCTCCCAAGGTTGCAGTCATCCCACTGCAGCTGTGTCTCTCAGGCACCCAGACTTCCATTCCAGGGCACCCAGAGCTCAGAAGAGAATTTTCTACCCTGGGATTCCAGAAAGGAGAAATTGAGGCCCCGTTTACAGCAATACCTAAGGACAGCCACCTCATTAATAGCCCCTATCAAGCCCTGACAATAGCCTCACCTGTGCTAAATGTTCTACTGTCCCACTTTGACTGACCCCAAGCCCATAAGGCAGGTATTCTTGCCTCCACTGTATAGATGAGCAAACAGCATCAAAGAGTTTCAATGATTTCCCCAAGGTCACACAGCTAGTCGGCACCGGAGCACCTTAACAAGCTGATCTCACCCCCTCTGCACCCAGGCATGTGCTGGAGCCTAGGCCTCAGCCGAGTGGTCTCTGACCCAAAGGACCTCTGGATTCCTTTGCCCACCCACCCCCTGGGTTCCAGCCTGAGGACAAAACCCCAAACTCCTCCCCACAGAGCCCCAGGAGAACACCTACTTTTGTGGGTACATGTTAAAGTGAGCCTGGTTGCACACGGCTGGGGAGGGGGCCTGGTCCATGTAGGTGGCGCTGCCCCCCGCAGAGTCTGCAGAGGCATTTACAAACCTGCAGGAGGAGGCAGAGCAGGGCCTCAGCGGCCTGGGGCGGCAGCTCCCCTGGGGAGGGCTCAGGGGGTCTCTCTGTGTCTCTTCAGGGTATAGAAGGACAGAGTGCCCCACTGGACCAGGGGTTCCGGCTGCAGGAGAGGGGTCCTGGGTGCCAGCCCCATTGTGACCAAGCCCAGCTCCTGCCCCAGGGCTGAGAAAGGTTTGGAGGGAGGGGACACGGTCTTGTGGGCCCATGGAGGGGCGGCCATGGGGGGAGGGCAGGCCCAGAGCTAGACCCGGACACTTACTCAGGGACCACTTGCTTGATCTGCGGCTTCACATACCCGTCCACTGCTTTAGCTGCCGAGGAGAATGGTGATGAGAACCAGTCTCTGGAAGATCCCGGGGGAGGCGGGAGGCGGCCCACCCCATGCCCTCTATCTCCTCCCCACATGGACATGGGGCTTCAGGGCTGAGATTTTGCACGGAGTTCCAATAACCATCCTTGGGTGGACCCAGCCGAGGGTATCCAGACCCCTGGCTCCTCTCTCATCACCCCTCCTTCCTCTCCTGGCCATTTGCTTTCTCAGCTCTGCCCTCACCCTGGCCCGGGAGACAGAATCTACAAGGAAAAACCCAACCAATGGATTGGAAATGAGCGAAGAGGAAAAGTCTGTCCATTTTGTATCCTACATTCAACTTGGGGGCAAGTTTGAGGGTGGGACGTGGTGAGAGCATTATCTGTGGGTTTGAAGCACCCCGACCCTCCCCCAGCACTGCAGCCGCCTCCCCCGCGGGAGCAGACGTGAGAACCCAGTTATCGTTTTGTTTTGCAGAAAAGAAAGATGGGTCAAGCTTTCGCTTTCCCTCTCCTCAACCGTCAGCCTCCGAGCCCACTCTGTGCATTTTGCACCATCCCATGGGCCAGACCCCTGGGGGGAAACAGCCCTGGGCTCTGCTCGGGGGTCCCTGCTGCCTCTCTGGGCTGAGGAGGCGGAAGCTTCAGGGCAGGACACACCGAGCACAGGAGTGTAGTACTTGGAGAAGACCTCGTCCTTGGGCCGGTCTGGGAACACGTAGATGAGATAGCTCAGGTCCCCCAGCCGGTCGGCCAGGGACCGGATAGAGAAGTCCCGCGTGGTGAACGGCTTCAGGTTCCACAGGTTGCGGTCAGCTGTGAGAGGATGAGCTCGTTTGCCGCCGACCTCGACAAGGTTAAGTGCGGGGGCTTTCGGGCAGGCTTGCGGAGACAGCGGGCATATCGCAGCTGGCACCACACCCCACGCAGTGCCCTCAGCACAGGGCGCGGGAGCAGAGCCCGCCGGGCCAGGCCGGGGCGGAGGAGGAGGGCACAGGCGTTAGGTTCTCCCAAACGGGCAAACGAGAGAAAGGAAAGGCGCTTCTGACCAAACGCTTTCCATATTCTGAACACAGCTCTTACCTTGTGCACCAGGGAAAGGCCTGGGGAGCAAGAAAATAGGGGATGGGGCTGCAGGGCCAGTGTGGGCAAGAGAGGGCACTTACGAGAGTCAAACTTCCAGGCAATGGTGATGCCCCCGATTTCGGAGTCGCTAAAGCGCAGCAAGAAGGTCCCATCAGGCTTATTGATGAGCAGGTCGTGGGCCTGTTGCTTATTAACAAAACCTAGGATGGCCCTGGGTACACGGAGCAGAGTGTCACCGCTGGGCCGGCAGCCACCCTGAGCCACAGCCATCCCCCAACCTCCGTGCCCCCCACTCCTCACCCGTCATTCCAATGGGGCTTATGATGCTTCTTCAGCACCTCCATGACCCCATCGAACCATTGCCAGAAGGTGTAATTCCAGCCCGGCAGGTTCTCCTGGAAGCCCCCCCAGGAGCCCCGAGTCAGCTTGTGCCCGCTTATCACAGGTGGCCCAGGACACAGTCAGTGCCCTTGCGTCCTCGCCCAGGCCTCCCGGCTCCTCACTCTACGTATCCCACACTCCAGCCGTCGATGAGAGGGGTCAACCCCCAACCCGTGTCCTGGGGGTGGGAGAGCTCCTTTGCCTCCTGCATCTCAGACACAAGCTCCGAGCCCATCCCTCTGGGTGAGGGTAGGAGGAAAAAGTTGAGCTGGATGAGACCTCCAAACTCATTCCTTTCATCTGACAGGTGGGGAAACGGTGGCCCAGAGACAGGGAGAGGCCTGGCGAATGAGCTAATAGCTCTGGGGTAGAAGCCAAGCCCCTGAGCCCCAGCTCCAGGTCCCTCACCGTCTTGCTTGGGCTCTCATGCTGCCTCCCCTCCTCGGGGTTGTAGGAGAAGGCCCCTGGGGCTCTGCTGGAGGGCGGGGGCGGGACAGGTGTCCCCATGCAGGCTCCAGCCGGGCGCTCACCCTGTTGAACTGGGACCAGGACACCGACATGCTGCTGTAGTCCTCGAGGTGGCTGCTGCTGCTGTTAAAGAGCTTCTGTGCCAGGAACACGAGGTTCTCCTTGGTCAGGCCCCGGTTGCTCTGCACCTCAGCCTTGAATTTCATGTTGAGCGCGTCACACAGCTGCGGCCACAGCACTTTGTCGGGCACGGCGAATGGCACCCGGCCCTGGGGGAGAGAGGAGGAAGATCCAGGGCTTTGGAAATACACACAGCAGAGACAGAGATGGCGGGTGTGGGGGCAAGAAAGATGTAGCAGAGGAGGCACATGAGGGAAAAGAAAGGCTGGGGGCAGGACAGACAGAGGCCACGCAGGGACAGACCCAGCCCAGGGACTGTGGGCAGAGATCTGAGACCCGAGACCTGAGTCTCGAGCCCCAGATGGGCGGGCGCTCCCTCCAGCTGCCCCTTGCCTCACCTCACCTCAGCTCTGGTCTGGTCCTGGGGTGGGAAGAACCACTCAGCAGAGGACTGAGGATTTGGGGCTGACCTGAGGGGAGCCCTGGGGCCTGGGGAGCGTCCCTGGGGTCCCCGACACTCACTGGCTCGGCGAAGGCGTTGTCCCACAGCACGGTGGCAGTAGCATTGTGGTCCTGGCTGCCGTGCACGATGACAACCACGGGGAGGGACAGGGTCTGTGGGGGTCATGGGATGAGCATGGCGGCCGGAGGAGCACCCCATCTTGGCCTCCACTCAGGCAGGATTCCCGACCTCATTTCTCACCCATAATCCCAACCACAGGGCCCCTTCCAGAAAACCAAAGCAAAAGCAAACAAAAAACCCACAGACATCTATTTTCTTGGTCCATCGCCCAAGTTCTGTGGGCTGGTGCCAGGTCAGGGAGAGCAGGCACCAGCAGAGAGAAGGTGGAGTTCTGATAGTGTCCCGGGGTACCTGGTGTCACCCCAGGAAGACCAGAGTGCTCTGGCTCTCCCAGACCAACTGGGTGGCCTCAGGCAGGTCGCTTCACTGACTGGTGGCCCTCGGGGAAGGGGGAGCAGGGCCTCACCTTCACCTGGAACACAAGCTCATTGCTGCCAACACTGAACTGAGACTCAAACAAGACCGTGAACTTCTCCTCCGTCACGGACTCTGCGCCCCGCCGGTCAGCGCGCTTGATCCTCTTCAGTGACTGCAGGTGGAGGCCAGAGGGCAGAGAGACCATGGCTGGTGAGGAGGGTCAGCTCTGGTAGGTGGTCCCGCCAGAGCAGGCCCTTGTCCTCACCATGTTCCTGAAGTGGGCGCTGAGGGTGCCGGTGGCCTGGTGGTACTCCATCACACAGCAGTTGTTCAGGATCTCCCCGCTGCACTCGCTGCAAAGGAGGGGGCCCAGCTCCACAAAGGCCCCGGACCAGAGCTTGTGCTGTCAGCGCCGGGGCTTGGTCATCACCCAGGAAGCCCCGTCTGCAGCCCCTGCCCCTGCTCTCCGGGTATTCCTCTGTGTGTCTCTGGACTTGCTCATAATCAACCGGGGAGTACCCAAGTGAAGTCTTGGGGGGCGGGGAGGAGGGGTTCTGGGTCTTCATCATTAGGGTAAAAATTTCCTGGGCATCCAGATGGATGTGGGCATCTTGGGAGGACTCTGGCAGCCTGCACAGCACTCTAAGTACAAATCACGTCTGTGACCCACAAGGATCCCTGTGATCTGTCCTGACCACTCCTATCCTCGCTGAATCTCCACTCAGTAGCTCCTAAGAAAGTTCTCCCCCCACCACCATGTGATGTGGCAAGGCCATTCCAGACACAATGACATCACTCAGTTTTAATTTTCTTTCTAAGTCTGTCACTTTGGGAAACTGCCTTATTTGCTAAAGCGCGTGATGGTCTATTGCTTGGCCCCAATTCAGGCACCACGTGAAAGCTACTTTGTCTTGGTCATCGTGTCCCCAGACACTCAGGACACACTCATTCACTCCCTCACTGGTTCATTACTGCCCACCGTGTGGAGCGCCTGCCCTGAGCCCAGGACGCCATGCTGGCCCTCGGCCACACCTTGTCCTCCTCCAAGACAAAGTCCGTGCTCCCAGCAGGTCTTCCCTGTCTATGCCCTGACACTTGCTACCTGCAGAATCATTGCCATTTCTGCTCCACTCTGTAGTGGCCCATGTGCACAGTGCCCTACATGTCTCCCTTGTCACCAGCAGCAATCATTTCTCATGTCTGCTGTGGGCTGGACAAAGACAGAGCAAAGTTTCATCTGGCTCACAGAAGTGACCCAGTGTTATCACAGTCGTGGGACACCCAGCATGGCAGGAACTGGAAATGGCCTTAGGACCTGGGAGCACAAGGAATGACTAGACAGCAGGACAGACAGAGTGCCCTGGAGAGACACTGGCCGTGCCTGCAGGACGAGAGCAAACAGCTGTAGGGAGGGAAGCCGTGCTGTGCCCAGCCACAGGACGGTCTGTGACGGCAGCAGGTGCCCTGCCCTGGCACGGGCAGCCGCAGCAGGGGGCACACGTACTTGCGAGTGTTCTCGTTCTTGAGCAGCGACTTGGCCTGCTGCTCGCTGATGATGGTGGCCTTCACCTGGGGCGGGTTCATGTGCACGTTCAGCTTCCCCCCCACCAGCAGGCGCACGGTGGCCGCAAACTTGGTCTGGGTCTTCAGGACCTGAGGGGGCTGCTTCTCGATGATGAACGTGCTGTGGGGACACGGGATGTGCTCAAGGACTGGCCTCCCGGCCCCCACCATGGGGCTCAGCTGGAGAAGGAGGCAGTGAGGGTGGGTGGGCAGGGAGTGAGCTCAGCAGCCGGCCTGGGCTGCAGGAAACAAGGAGCAGCCGGAGCAGCGGGGCCGGAGGCCATGAGGACGTGAGGCAGAGACAAGGCTTCCAGCACAACTCTGGGCTCCCATCTGCTGCCCCCGCCCTCCTAACACCGCCCACATGGGGCTGCCCTCCCCTGCGGGGCGCAGGCCAGAAGCAGCCATCACCTGGTCACCAGGGCTGAGATGATGTCCGTGATGGTGGCGTTGACCTCCGCCAGCATCTCCTCCACTGGGCCGGGGATGGGCAGCTGCTGGCAGAGGTGCTCAGCTCTGCGGATCTGCTGCCGGTTCTGCCAGATGATCTCGGCCAACTTCTCACACCTGTACGGGGACCCCAGGGCCAACGGGAAGGTCACTGGCTCCTTCTGTCCAGGCCCCAGGCCGCAGTCTGGGAGGTTCCCGGTCTGGAGAGAACCCCCGAAACCCAGCCACACCCCTACCCAGGAAGGCTGGGAGCCTTAGCTGCCTCTCCTAGCCACTGAGCAGAGACAGCTCCCCGCCTTTCAGAAGCAAAATAAACGGGAGGAGTGACCCTGATTGGCACCAAACAGCCTGGGCCCTGCCCCATTCACCAGCAGGGATGCTGATCCCGGGGAGGTGGCATGGGATGTAGACACCAAAGTCCATCGCGGGAAGCAGCACCCCTGCTGGGATGAGACTGTCAGGGTCAGAGGGAGCCAGTGGGAAGCAGCGTCAGCAGCTGGAAGCAGCCCCTGAGTGCCTGCCTGCCCTTGCCACCCCCATCCTGCCCCTCAACCCCATGCCCCTTACCAGGACTGCAGCACATCCAGGCTGCCCTCAGGGGGCCCTCCGTTCCCAGCCAGCTGCTGCCGCCGCTTCCACTGGATCAGCTCGTCGTCCAGAATGATGGTCTGCTGCTTCCGCAGCAGCTGCAGGGTCTTCTGGTGCTTCTCGGCCAGCTCCTGCGGGGAGGCAGGGGAGCAGGCCCTGCTGGCTCCCAGGTGGCAAGCCTGCAGGCCTCCCTCGGGAGGCAGGGCCAGGCCCAAGCCCCAGGCCCAGGCTGCTCCTCTCCTGAACTGCTGTGCCCCACAAGCCCCCACAGCAAAGAGATGGGCTCTGCCCTCCTCAGGGCTCCACCCTCTCTCAGGCTCCTGAGCAGCTCGGATGTGACCTCCATGCCTGCAGCAGGACACAGCCCCACTTACCACGCGGTACTGCTGCAGAGTCTGGGCCTCACGCTGGAGCCAGGCCTCTAGGGACACCTGCTTCTGCTGGAGAGCAGTCTCCCGGTTCAGACGGTCCTGGGGGTTCAGCTGGCTAAACTGAGCTAGAGGAAGGGACAGGACACCCACAATGATCATCAGCTGAAAGCCCAACAGAGCCACACTCATCTTTCTGGAAGAGAGACACTCAAGGGACCCCTCTGGCCAATATCAGGTCAGGAGACTGTGGGCCGAGGGTGCAGAGAAGAGTGGGCTCTGCTGCTGGCCTCCTGACCCTGAGCTCCCCTCCAGGGAGTGGGGAAATGGCAGCTTGTGGGTATAGCTGAGAAGGATCCTACCCATGGCCTTCCCCCCACCAAACACACAGCTGGCCGCCCAGCTCTCCTCACACCTTCCAAGGGTCCAGCTTGGAGCCACATCGCCTAGTTAGCCCTGTGCCCTCACCGTTCACCAGTGGTCACCTCAGGCAAATAACTTCCCTCTCCTGTACCTCAGTTTCCCTGTGTGTAAAGCTGGGGAATCATGGCACCTGCCTCAGGCACCTGCTGTGAAGATTAGCAGCTGATGTCACGGAAAATGTTCAAGAAACTGCCTAACACAGGTAAGGTCTATGTGAGAGTTAGTCCTAGTGGGCCATGGGCAACAGGATGAGGCCAGGGTGATGGACACAGCAACTGCCCCCGACCTCACTTAGCAGAGCCCGTTTGGGGCAGGCCCTACTGCTGCCTGCGCCCCGACTCCTCTCAGAGAAGAGGGTTTTACCAGCTGCCAGAAGGCGCCTGACATGTTTGTCCAGGTTGGGTCACTGTGAGCTCAGGACACCAACCAGGGGGACAGAGAGAGTCCAGGCCATGGGGACACACAGCAGCAAGAGTCTCTCAGGAAAGTGAGGGTGGAGGGAGACGGCCTCTTTCCACACCAGCTGTCAGGAATCTCACCAAAGGCAGGAACGGGCAGTTAGTTTGGCTTCAATGCCTTTTTCAAAATATCTATCAGGAGACACTTAACTAATAGGGCACACAGAAAGAATAATACAAGGAAGACCTGTGTGTCACCAACCCCATCTAAGAAACCAAACATTTCCACAGCTGAAGCCACCTGTACACCCTCCCCTGTTTGCAAACCCATTCTTCTCTGCAAAGGTAACTGGTATCCTAAATGTTTTGCCCAGTAAACTTTTTGAATGGTCTGCAAACACTGCTGAGTCAAGATATTGTGAGCGTCAGCATGACCTGGTCAAACTCCTGGCACGCTTCTGTGGGCCATGTCACACTGACCCAGACCCTGCCCTGTGGACGCACAAGCTGGGGCAGATGAAAGCAACTCCTGCTCTTCCCAGAAATACCCAGAAAAAGGGTGAGGAATATGGTTCTAATGTCAGTGCAGGAGCCTGAACAGTGGGAGTATTGTCCAGCTCAGAACACAGTAGGGTGATCTAGACAACCACATGGGCAATCCTGTCACTCACAGAGAAGTAGTGGTGCTCCCAACACCAGGACCCCAACTCTCTATGCAAGCTGACGCACGTAGGTCTCTCCTGGTAATTTGCAAAAACTTCTGGGAAGGAAGCCAGGAGACATGAGGCAATTGCCTGCTCCTTTGGAGGGAGTTGAGTCTTCCCTTGCACAAACATATCAATAGTCTCTCTGATTGTTGAGATTAAATTTACATCGTATCATGGGCACAAGCCTTAACCAGAATCCAAACCTAAATCCATAAATAGGAAACAGAAAACCCAAGAACAAGATCATCAATTCCATCAACCAGACAAACACCTTAGGCAGAGATAATAGCCTGAAATCTTCTGTTTCCTGATGTAGTAAGAGAGTTAACCCTACCTGAGCTCAGGCTAGGATAAATTACAATTGGAGGAAGACACGGTTGAATTCTCTCATCAAAATTACTCAAAGTGGGCCTCCCTGGTGGCGCAAGGGGTTAAGCACCGCACTATGAAGCAATCTGCAGCCTCTGCAGCACGAGTTCAATCCCTGGCTGGCCAGAGAGCAACTCACATGGTGCAGCAGACCTCTCCTGTCTCGCCTGCTGCTTCCCTCAGCAGTGTTTTTCAGTCAGACTGCCAGTTCTGTTCCCCACTCTGTCTCTGGTGAATCCTCTCACCCCCCCATACCTCTGGCCTGTACCCCAGTTTTTGATTGCATAAATAAATAAATATTTTTTTAAAAATTACTCAAAGCTACTGGATTCAGGCAAAGTGATACTGTCCAAGCACAACAGACACTGGCAGGGCAGGGTTGGGAGGAAAGTTTAAATAGTTCAATTAAAAGAGAATTGTAAATAAAATTTTAAATAATAAATATCAGAATGAAAAAAGGACAAGAGGAACAAAAACTGAGAAGGGACAAAACAGAAAACAAATAAAAAATAATAGACCTCAATATAATTGTATTAATAGTAATTATGTTAAATATCAATGAAATAAAAATTTCAATAAAAGTAGAGACTGTTAGAATAAATACAAAAGCAAGACTCAGCTATATGTTGCCTGCAGTTTAAGTTTTAGCAAAAGCATGAATAAAAGATATTCTATGCTAGCTAGAGAAAGAGCCCTTATATTAATACCATATAGACTTCAAGTAAAGAGTATTACTAGAGATTAAAAAAGATATTTCTTAATAAAGTATCACTTGGGAAGACATAATAATCATAAATCTATATGCATCTAATAATGAACCTTCAAAATACATAAAGCAACTAATAGAACAATTAGGTCAAAAATGAGTAAAGACATAGGCCAGTGGTTCTCAAACTGTGGACTGGGGATCATCCTAGAGTGGTCCCAAGGCCCTAAATGGGAGTCCAAGAGTCAAAACTATTTTCAGAGGGTTACAAAACCTTATTAAACTTCTCTCTTTATCTGTTACAAGTATATAGTGCAGTTTTCTAAAGGCTCAAGATATATGATATTACAACAGATTGAAAGTAAGATCTAGCTATCCCTTATTAAATATAACATTAAAGAGATTTGCAAAATGTAGAGCAATGTCTCTCTATTCACTAAGTTTTGTACTGGAAAATAAGAGTGTTGGGCTTTTTTATTTGTTTTTTAACTGTACCTTTTATGTTGACATGGACTTTATTACTGCTTTTTTTAAGTGAAACAATTATAGAACATATGTTCTTTTCAAATACACTGCCCAGATATAGCACATGATGGGTCATAAAACAAGTCTCAATGCATTTAAAAGGAATTGAGATCAGGGGCCTCCCTGGTGGCACAGGGGTTAAAGACAGTGCTATCAAGCTCTCCCCAGCCCACCAGGTTGCTAACCCACATGGTGCAGCAGATCTCTCCTGCTTACCCGCTGCTCCCCTCAGCAGTGTATTTCAGTAGATCTGCCTGGTCTGCTCCCCACTTTCTCTGGTGAATCCTCTCACCACCCTCTCTACCCCACACCTCTGGCCTACACTCCAGTTCTTGTATGCATAAATAAATAAATAAATAGATAGATAAATCTTTTAAAAAAAAGAATTAAGATCATACAGAATATGCTCTCTAACAATGAAATTCAATAATGGAATGAAAATGAAATCAATAATAATATTAAATCCAGAAAAAAATGAAACTCCTAGAATATACTTCTAAAAATGTTTAGATAAAATAATTAATGAGAAGAAAAATTAGAAAATATTTTAAACTGAATGATAATGAATATGCCATATATCTAAAATCATGTGGTGTAGCTAAAACATTGTTAGAGGGAAATGAATAGCTCTGAATATATATATTGGAAATGAAAGATTGAAATTCAATGACCTAAGTTTCAAGAAGTCAGCAGAAGAGCAAAGAAAAAGGCAGAAACACTTCCTGTTTTTCTTAGGATGGACCAGCATAGCCTGGAGTGGGAAGAAATGGGCCATGTTTTAAGACTCCTCAAATTGCACCTGGAGTTAACTCCCTCCAAGTTAATCTTTCTTTCCTCACACCCTTATCATGGCAGCTCTTGGCAAACCACAGACCTAGAACACAGGAAAACTTTCCAATGTCACTTTCACCTCTCAGCTCTACCACTGAGCTGTGACTGAGGCTCAAGAAGGAAGTTGCACCTCCTCTCAGACTGGTTCAACCAGGGAATGCTTCATCTAAGTCCTCCCTCTGGTCAGGGAATACTTTGTTCATATTCAGTCACTCATTCATTGAGCTACTCACTGAACACCTACAATCCAGGAGAGAATACTGGTTAGTAAAAAGAATTCATGATATGATCTCTAGTTGAAATCCTGATGCTACTTATAAGCCATCTAGACCAAAATATTTGTTCTCTTTTAACCTCAGTTTTAACATCTGCAAATTAGGGATAAGATAGCTACCTTCTTCCTGGAGCTGTTGTCAAGGTTGAATGGAATAATACATGCCAAAGGATAAACCTAGAACCTGGCCCACAGCAGGGGCTCAATCACTAGGAGTCATACTTCCCAGAAAAGTGCTGGGGGAGATGGACAGTGACCCACACCCACTCTGAAGGAGCTCACAGAGCAGCCTCGCTCCATCCTCAAGACACACTGTCCTGCCACACCGGCCTTACCCTGGATCCTCAGGCTCTCTTGGTACTGGATGATGAAGTACTCTTGAGTCTGCTGCAGCTTCTTCAGCTCATTCTCTGTGTCCTGCGTGACCAGTCGCAGCTCCTCGAATGTCTGGTTGATCTGAAGGTGTTTCTGGGACATGGCGTCCACGAGACTGCCAGCTGGAGCGGTACCCTGGACACAGTGGGGGAGAGAGCAGACACCATGAGCCGACCGGGAGGGTGGAGAACCCCGTGGGCCTGATCCTGAGGAAAAGCCAATGCCAGAACCTGTAACTGAATTTTGAGTCAGCAGAAATGCAAACACCATTTGTAAGAACTGGGGGAAAGCAGACAGGTGAGCTGGCAGACTATGGCGTCTTCACAGAGCACAGCACACACTCGGGCCTCCATCAGAGGACCCCAAACAGGCCCGCATATGTCCTCTCTGGAGAAACTAGAACTCAACATGTGCCCGAGTTACCTGGGTTTCCTGCCAATGATGATGACCCCACACTTCACATGCACTGACCCAAGGCCACAGACTGTGCCAGAAGCTGGGACACCGTGGGGGAACAATGGGAACACACTGTCTGTGTCCACCCTGGAGACCTTGTTGTAACTGGGTGAACCTCTCAGAGGCAGTGTCTGGAGATGCCAGAATGAAGTCACAGGGGAGGCACCAACAGGCCTTTGTGGATCCAGCCATGCAAGGGACTTGGCCAGCCCATTCCTTCAACACTTGGCAGAGACAAGGCTAAGTCTCAGGCCTTTCCAACGAACGTTCTCAGAATAAAATCTAGTCTTTTCCACAGTCTCCCCTGCTCCCAATGACAGCCTCTGCCTCCCTCCCCAGCTCCACTGCTGCCCAAATACACCCTCTACAATCTGTTGCTTGAACACACAGCCTGTTCCTGCCTCAGGGCCTTTCTACTTGTTGCTCCATCACTCTGGGACATTCTGGTATCTGTCTTATGTACCACGACATCCCCAAGGTTTCGAGGACATCAGAGGAGATCAAAAAGCTTGCAGGCTGGAAGAAAGAATGATACTCCCTGACCATAATACCTGTGCTGTGGACATGTCTTTCTGAATTGGAAAGGGATTTATGTTGACAGTGACAGATGGCTCTGTGATGGCCAAGTCAAGGGACTCAAGGTTACACTAGAAGACCATCTGTGACCTGGCTTCTGTTCCCCCTCTGCCTTTACCTACCAGGCTTCCCCAGCTGCTCTGACTACTCACAAGTCTTCAGATGTGATGACATGCTCAGGCCTTCCTGCCCTGCCCCCATTGTGACTGGCTCACAACTCATCCTTCCCCCTTCCTTCCTTTCTCTACTGTAGCTCTGACATCGCTTTCCTCCAGACACCCTGCCCGTCTCAGTGGGGTACTGTTTTCTATCTCATCCGACTCACCTCTTAGAGAAGCTACCATTCCCTGGTGCCTTTCAGGAGGGGACCAGGACTTTGTCTGCTTCTTCCGTTCTAGTCCAGCATCAGCTTATAGCAGACCCTCCATAAATGTTAACTGAATGAACTAACATTCCTAAAATCAGTGTCCCCAACAACAAATGAATAATAAATCTGACCCCTGCTCCCAGCACTATATTTTAGCTGTGTTTTTTTATCTATGATATATCAATTCATGAAGTTCATTTTGTTTTATTTCAGAGAACAACTGCATGATTGGCCAAGCAGCTGTTCTGTTCTTTACCATTTCAGAACCTGTTCTGCCTCCCTGGGGCCCCTTTCTCTGTGTCTGCCAGTGTTAGTTCTTCTAACACAGCCCACAGCTCCATTTCTCCTCACAGGCCCCACCACAGAACATTTGTTATTTTGACCCCAGCCCCATTTATTGATGGCAAATCTTTCCCCTGGTGATTTGGGATGGTAACTCGGTCATATTGACTTTTCCAGGTGTGTGTGTGTGTGTGTGTGTGTGTGTGTGTGTGTGTGAAGAAGACTTCTTCTTCATTGGTCTATTTGTCTATCCCTGACCATATCTGATCCTCAAAAAATCCCCACAAACTGGGCCTCTCTGATGGAGCAAGGGTTTAAGTTGTAGCACTATGAAGCTATCTGCAGCCACTGCAGCACGAGCTCGATCCCCAGCCAGGGAGCTACCCACATGGTGCAGTAGACCTCTCCTGCCTTGCCTGCCCTATGCTCCCCTCAGCAGTGTATTTCAGTGGATCTGCCTTTTCTGCTCCCCACTCTGTCTCTGGTGAATCCTCTCACCCCCGCCCCTGCACCTCTCATATGCATAAATAAATAAATCTTTAAAAATAATCCCTACAAATGAAGACCTATTACATTCACCATTTACAATCAAAGAAATAGGCTCAGAGAGATTAAGATTGCTCATTTCACACAGTTAGTAGGTGGCAGAGCCAAGGACTGAGCCAGGAGGTCACCCTACACCTGTTTTTTTTTTTTTAAGATTTATTCATTTATGCATATAAATGTTCACTAATACAAATGTTCACTTATACAAGAACCAGGGTATAGGCCAGATGCGCGGGGTGGGGTGTGTGTAAGATGATTCACCAGAGACAGAATGGGGAACAGAACAGGCAGACTGACCGAAATACACTGCTGAGGGGAGCAGTTGGCAAGACAGGAGAGGTCTGCTTGCCATGTGGGTAGCTCCACGGCTGGTGGGGATTGAACCAGCATGGATTGAACCAGCGCTGCAGAGGCTGCGAACAGCTTCACAGTGCTGGGCTCAATCGCCTATGCCAACAGGGAGGCCCCACCCTACACCTGTTTTTGAGACTGCCTCTCACAAGTGCCATGTCTCTTAATTGTTGGTTCTCTCTTTATGCCAGTGTTGAGAAAACAGACTTGTATCTGGAGAGAAAGGTACAGGGAGGCCTTCCCAAGCCCGCTGCCCAGACCCATGGACACTCACGTTGTTGGCTTCTCGGACCAGCCTCTGTTCATTGTACAGGATGTGGCGGATGCAGCGGACCAACTCCATGGGGCAGCGGTCATACGTGTTCTGGAAGAATCCAACAGCAGCTGCCAGGGGCCACCTCTGCTCCCAGAACACCCGTCACAGCGCCACACCCACCCCTCCTGACCTCCTCAGCTCTCCCCGGGAAGCCTCAGGATGGTCACCAGATACTTCTATCTCTCCTTGACTTGACTTTCCCCTCCTAGACCTTCATATTTGGTTTGCTAGTGTGTTAGAGACCCACAGCTTACAAAGCACTTGCAATCTGCCAGTTTCTTGGACGTTCGCAACACGGAGAACCCGTGACTGAAGCAACACTATCATCCCCACTCCACGGATGAGGAAACTAACGCTGAGAGAGGCTGAGTGCTCGTCAGGAGACAAACAAGTGAGTGGACAGATGACTCAAGGCTCGGAGCATCAAATGCCAAGGTCAAGGTACTTTCCACCATACTCCTGGCCCTGAGTTCCTATTTTATTTCCCTCTTCCGCCCAGCTTTCTCCTGTTTCCTCCTTTTCCTGGGATGAACCTTTTATTTCCCTGGCACAGGGCTGCTTGTATCTAAGGATACCCTAAGAAAGACAAGTGAGTCCCAATAAATGTTTGACTGTGATTACCACCTACATCCCATTCCTGCTTCCACAAAAACCTCCTCTCTCCCCTACACTCCTCTCCTACTCCACGGGAAGGAGAAAGAAACTACATCTTACATCCACTGGGTTGTCAGAAGAGTCATGATGCATTTTTTTGCTCGAGAAACATAGAAGAAATACGTCATGACTTTCCCGACAACCCAATAACTCCTTCACTCAGGCCTCTTCCTCCAGCTCTTGCCTCCAGGGTAATGCTGTTCCTTTCCCACCTGACTTCTGCAGCTCTCTGAGTTTTAAGAACCCCAAGAGATATAGCTCCTTTCTAGAATCTGTCCATCTTCCTTCTTCCACAAAGAAATCTTGACTCAGTCTACCTCTGTCCCTTCTGCTTGATCGGTTCAAAATGCCATTGTCTCGGGGACAAACATACCTCATCCCTCGCTTCATAAAATGCTAAAAGAATCTGACAGGTTTGCTTTAGAACGAGGGGGTGGGGGAAGTCGAAGCACAGAAAAGTTGCCACAACTCAAGATCACATGGTGAGTCAGTGACCAGGAAAACACCCGGGGTTCTGATGCGGGAAAGAAAAGGCAGAGCCTGCCGTCCTGCAGATGAGCAGCCCGCACCCACCTGCAGCTGCGTGGCGTAGTGCCCCAGCTTGATCTTCAGCAAGAACCCATCTTCCCCCACCTGATGCTCCGCCTTCTTCTGCAGCTCCTGCACCAGGCCCTCCAGGAGCTGGGTGGCTTGGGCTCGGTCCTGGGGGTTGTCCAGGTCGATGGCATCCCTTGGGGCAGGGTTGGGGAGAGAACCTACTTGGGCAAGGCAGTCGGGCATGGAGGCACGTGGAAATCCCAGGCTTGTGACTAAGCGCGTCCCAGAGCCACAGGCTTGTTCCTGCCAGGTCCACAGGCATCAGAGTCTCGAAACATCCCCTCTCCCCTCCCAGGCTCCCATTTCCCTGTTCCCCTTTCCCAGGGACACCGCCCTGCCCCTTCCGCACAGAGGGGAGCGGACAGAACCAGAACCATGCAGAACCACAGAGACCTAAGGGCCGGGGACCTGGAGGCAGGGCCCTGCGAGGAAGGGCGGGGCGGCACACCTACCAGGGCTGGCTCTCAATCCACTGCGCTAGGTAGTGCCGGACCTCGATGGGGAAGTGCTGCCCGTAGAGGACCTGCATCTGGCGCAGGGCATCTCCTTGCAGCTGCTGGGCCTGGATCCAGCGCGCCATGTCCGCTCACCTAGGGCCGCCGGGGGTTGAGGAGGTGACTCCTCCACCCAGGAGCCGGCCGGGCCTGCCCTGGCCCTGCCATGCCCACCCATCCCTGGACCGCAGTCAGGCCAGGCCCCTCCCTTGCCACAGACACGCTTTCCTGTGTGGGAAGAAAGATGGTGTGGAGGGGAGGCCACCCTTCCCTCCAAAAAGGAACCCGCTGAGGCTTGGGGAGGGGCTCCTGAGAGTCAGGGGCCCTCCCCCTCTCTTCCTCTCCCCTTGCCCCACTGGGGCTTCCCCAGAGGGGGGACAGCTAGAAACTGAAAGAGAAACTTGGTAGAGCCCCATGGGTCCTCTGGAAAGGGCTGCAAGAATCCCCCTAACCTGCCTCGAACCCTGACCCCCAGTTCCTGGGAAGGGGGGATAGTCCAGGCCAAAGTTAGGGCAGCGCTGCCAAGGGCTTCGGCTGGAAGGCTGGGCCCCGGAGGCACGTGGCTCGAGCTGTTAGGGAGCCAGGGCTGGCGAGTCCTCCACTCCCCCTCCTTGACTGCGCCCCCAGTTGAGCCCCGCGGTCTCCCACGGTCCAGCCCGACAGCGCCCCCGGCCACTGCGCGCGAGGACGCCGCCCACCCTCCACCCCTCGTCCATCCCCGCGCCTCGCCCCTCGTCCGCGCTGTCCAAAAGTCCCACTGGGTCTTGGGGACCGTTCGCTGCACCCCGGCCGCCGTCGGGCTCCGGGTCCCCGGGCGCGGGGTCCGGGCAGCAGCCGAGGCCCCCTGTCCGCGCGCGGCGCCCGGGCCCGGCCGACCCACCCACCTGATGTGGCCGAGCCGTGCGGCGGGGGCCCCGCTCTGCGCCCCGCGGTGCGCTCGGGCCCGGGCTGCGGGCGGCGGCGGCGGCTGTTACTACAGGAAGGAGCAGAGAGCAGCGATTTCCTCCTCAAAGGTCAGCTGCCTGCGATAGACCATACACAGCGCGCGAGCGCTCGCCAGCACCCCTCCCAGCCCCGTCGCTCCCTCCCAGCCTCCGCCCTCGGCCGCGGCTCCCCGGCGAGTGCGCAGCGGCGAGCGAGCGCGGCCCCCGGCGGCCAGGCTGGGCGGCGCCCGCGTGGGGGCTGCCCCGACGGCGGGGTCCCCCCGGGAGTCCCGGCCAAGTCTCGCCCGCCGCCCGGCAGGGCTGCCCCGGGCCGTGCAGGGCCAGCAGCAGCGGAGTGGCCGGAGGATGGGGTGGGAGGGCCGGGAAATCCCGGGCTCTGGAAATCCCAAACCTGGGTCTCGGTCTGCAAAAAGGGAGGTGGGCAGGGCTGGACTAGCTGGAGATGCGCTCCAGCGCCGGGGCTTGTCATCTTTTGAGTGTCTAGATTAAAAAATTAAGTGTGTGTGCGTGTTTGAGTGTATGTGGGTTGGGGACACAGTTTTTGTGACTTCACAGGCCAAGTCTTAGGGAGGGGGAAAGACTGGGGATTCCAGAGAAGCCAACTCACCCCCAGGGCCCCACCTCCCCTCCTTCCATTACTCCCACCACCCTGCACTCACCCGCTAGGTAGAAACAGAGAAGAACCAAAGCCGTCAAGGGTTTCACCTCCCCCACCCCCACCCCCACCCCCACCCCCAAAAATTTGCAGATAAGAAATGGATGTTCAGAAGGCAGAGGCTGCCAGAGTCACCCAGGACACACAGTCCAGCAGACAGACCCAGGCAAATGACCCTGAGCCCTGCAGGCCATCCCCCGAGCTCAGCCGCATCTGAGGCTGGCCCTACCTTGACAAAGTCCAGGGAGGGGGGGGGGGTGTCTTGAATCCTCACAAGCCCAGGATTCCTGGCCACAGCAGGAACCTCTCCCCTGAGCCTTGCCTGGGGGGCAGCCCCCCTCCCTGAAAGCCCCCTCCTGGGCCTGTGGAGTTGGGCAAGGCTGGACTGGAAACCTTCCATCCCCTTTGCCCAGCTTCCCTCTCCTCTGGGCCTCCCCTCTGCCTGGCAGCTGGTATTGGCAGCACTAGGGAGGGGCCAGCATGCCTGCCTACTCACAGCCCAGCTGGGCCAGGACCTCTGTGTGCGTGTGTGTGTGTGTGTGTGTGTGTGTGTGTGTAAGGGGGTGTCCTATTCCTCTCCTTTCCTCTTAGATCTGACTTCTTCTCTCCATTCCCTCCCCCACTCCCTCTCCCTCCTTTCTTTCCCCTCACCACCTCCCCCACTTTCATTCTTTTGGTGTGTGTGCTTCAGAGAAAAACCAAAGTTTAAGGCTGCAGGAGGTGGAATGTCTGGGTCCCCTCCCACCACCCCACTCCCACTTCCATATGTGGTCGCAGTCTCTTAGTTGGCAGGACGACAAGGAAAGGAATTGAAAACTGTAAGGGGGTTCTTCTGAAAGACTGGGGAAACCTTGCTCCTCACTTGTTCTGCGGGGGTCCTGGGGGGCACCATGCCTCCCCTTTTCCCCCATTCTGTGCAATAGATCGGCAGAGGACAGTCAGACACGTATTGCTGGAGGGCCACCTGGAATGAGAGTCAAGAATCAGCACTGGAAACAACTGTAATGATTTTACAAGTGGGGGGGGGACCGAGGCTAGAGAGGAGTGACGTGGCTGGTGACACACAGTCTGTCAGTGGAAGCTCCAAACCCACAACCACACCGTGCTCTCCAGCCTCTCGCTTCAAGCAGGTGCCTAAGTCCTTTGGTGAGAGCAGGTTCTCTGGGTTTCCAAGCTCTCTACGCCAGGACTGGAGGGCAGAGGTCCACTCTTGGCACACACCCACATCTGGAGACCTGGAGAGGCTGGCCTGGGGTCCCCAGCTCAATTAGAGGCCCTACCCATCCATTTCCAGGCCGCTGCCTCTCCAGCCTCCTCCCCAGGGCCTTCAGCTGGCAGCCCCACCCAACCAAACATCTGGCTCAGTTGGACAGGGCTTGGCTAGGGAGTGAATAGTCTTCCCTAAAAACTAGCATTGAGGTGCTGTGAAGAAAACCAGAGAGACTGACCCAAAAAGGTGTGACCCAGTGCTTTCAGAGCCCCTTGTGTCTTCTCCACACCTTGTATCTATGGTCACGGCAGTTCCCCTGGCCTACCTCTGGCGCTCTACCCGCGAGAGGCCCTGAATCCCAGGGTCCTGCACTGCATTTTCTCCTCTTGCTTTTGGAGTCTCCCCCTCCTTGATTCTTTTTCCTTAGGTTCCTTTCTCTCTCTGGTTGTGTCTGTGTCTCTCTCCATTTCTTTGAGCCTCTGTTCTTACTTTTGAGAGGCAGCAGGGCAGGGAGGAGCCCTGGAGACTTCCCAGGATGGGCAAAGGCCAGCCAAGGGAGAGAGGAGGGAAGGATGTCAGAGTTGGGTTGGGGGCAGAGGTGACTGTGGTCAGGGCTCCGGATAACACAACTACCCGGAAATGTCAAATTTGGGGTTTCTTTTTGCTTTCAGTCCCCTGGTTTGGTCTCTGCTATTTCCCACCACAAAGCACCCTGGTGGTTTTAGGGGCCCAGACTAGAGAGGAGAAAACAGTCTAGGGGATGGGGTTCAGGAAGATGAGAAACTGCCAAGGATCTAGGCTGAGCCAGGATCCCAGGCTTCCCCTCATCCCCAGTGGCAGCATTGAATCAGGGTGAGAAGGCATTAAAAACCCTACGGGAATGCCTCCCCCCCAGAAAACTGGCCACATTTAATCAGGAATCATAAGCCCTGGCCTGGTCTGTGACAGGCACACTATATACCCATCGGAAGCGGATTGTAGCACAGTTGTGTACACACTCACGATGCAGCAACAACCTTCAAGGTGGGCAGGGCTGGCATCACACCCTGTGATTAGTCCAGGAATGAGGCCTGACCGAGACTGTCTGGGCGCTGAGCGCACAGCTGGTGCCAGAACCCAAGTTACCCAGTCCAGTGGGCAGGGTCTTAGCACAACCTTCTCAACTTCTCTCTGCCCCAGCGCACACCCACAGCGTGAAGATGACTCCGTGGCCGGGCCAGCCCATAACCCCTATGTCTCCCTGCCAGGCCGGTCTGTGCCTCTGCCACCGCCCCGAGGCAGTGTGACCTGTGCATTCCATGCAGGTGGGTTCAAGTTTATGGAGAGAAGGAGGAATTATTTCAAGTCCGGTTTCTAGCCTGTCCTGGAAGACCGGGTTTGCCAAGAAGGTCTTGCTGATGGTCCTACCCTGGGAGAACAGAGTGAGGTCACCTTGACCTAACTGTCCCTCATCCCTGCAGTGGGAAGAACAGAGGGGTACAGAGGTGCCTTTGTTTCCTCTGCTCCGGGTCGCTTCTTCAAGGAGTGTTCCTGTTGTGTGGGAGCCAGAGGGGAGGTGGGGTGGGGGTGAAGAGCCTTCCCAAGAAAGCTGGAGGCATTCCAAGAAGTCTCTGTGTGGCAGAGAGGGGAGAGCTCAGGCCTCGAGCTCTTAAATATCCTGCTTCCCCCGACCTTGCCTTGGCTTGGATTGTCTACCTCCACTCTAGCCCCCCCAAAGATCCCGGAAGCGGGGCCTCTGATCCACGCACAGCATATTCTGCATCCCCAAGCCCAATGCCCTTGCCTCTCCCTGAGTCACTTCATCCTGGTACTTCCCTGAAGAAATGCTGCTTCCACTCTTGTCCATGAAGACAGCCCAGGCCGAACCCAGGGAGAGTGTGTGTGATGAGAAACTCTGTGTGGCTTGGGGGAGGGGAAGGAGCTGCCGTGTCCCCAGGGAAGCTGTCCACACTGCCTTCCTCTGCCCCTGCGCTCCAGCACTCTTCAGGGAAGTCAGTTTACAGTGAAGTCACCAAGAGAACACAGGGCCATCCCGCCTGAGGCATGGCAACTGTCCTCCGATTCTGGGAATAGAGTGAGGGGAGGGGTGGGGACTGACGGCGGCTGGGAGGGGGCATCCCGCCTGCCTTTGTCTAGCTGGGCTGCCCACCTGCCTTGGGAGAGATGCTGGAAGGACAAGGAGAGGAGGGGTGAGTCCCTGGCCTAGAGGGGGGCAGTGTGGGCCTGTCCCGTGGTGAGCAGCCGGAGTGGGAGCTGCTACCCCTTCCTCCACAGTCATCACTAGGCCCCTTCCCATGGAGCTGGCTTCTCTGCTTCTTGCCCAGCAAGAAGTCTTTTGTCCTGCAGCCAGCCTGGTATCCAAGTATCCAAACTCCAGCGCTCTGGGGGCTGTGTGGGAGACGGCTCTGCATCTCTCCCCCCCCCCTCCCCACTCACCACTCTCCTTTGTTATGACTGGAGGGCTTTCCTTTCCAGCACACTCTCATTGTGGTCTGGTTTCTTAAGTGCACAAACCCACTCATGTCTCTGCTATCCACTCCCTGCTCTGAGCCTCAAAAATGAATGCCCTCCTCCAGGAGCAAGAGGGGCATGTAAAATCCAAATGAAGAATGGCCATTGCCCCATTCTCTCCTCATTGGCTACTGGCCTGGTCTTCAGTTGCAGCTGAGATGGCCCCAAGAATGGGCCTGTCCTTCATTCCAGTACCCCCCCTCATCCCCCAGTGCACTGACCTCTTTCAACTGCAAGGCTTTGCCTCCTCTGTTCCTCCTACCTGGAATGCCATTCCTCCATTGGCCGCCTAGTGACATCTTCCTTATCTTTCACAGTGTCCATGTGGCATAAAGGAAAACATAACAGCTCTGGAGCCCTAAGGACCAACCAACCAGGTACAAATCCTGCCCCTGCTGGGTGACCTTGGGCACTTGAGTATGCCTCTCTGAGCTTGTAAAAGGAGGGCATCAAGACCCACCTCCCAGAATGGCTGCAAAGATTCAGTCACAATGCCTAGAATATAGTAGGTGTTCAGGGATCTTAACCAGATAAGTGAGACTGTTTATCCTCAGCACCCCGAGCCCCTCAACCGCACTGGTGTTTCAAGCTTCTCGGGGCTCTGACTAGATGCCTAGACTCTTAGCAGTGACTTCATAAGTATTTGTTGGATTAATGGAGATCCCTTTAACAGGCCCCCCTGAGCTCCAACAGTTCAGGGGCTCCCTTGGACCAGAGCAGACTCCTGTTTGTCTTACATATCCTGACCAACAGCAACCTGAAGTCTCTCTCTTTGCTGCCTTGGCCTCTGCCAGCTCAAGTCCTGCTGACCTGCTTCTCCACGGCAGTGGCTGCGGCAGCCTCAACTCTGCCTGGTGCTGAGCTGACTTTTGAGTTTGCAATAGTGCCTGGGGTGACTCTCTGCTCCCTCCTCTGTGTCATGCCCGCCCTCTCTGGATAATGGAGCATTGCCCCAGGACTCTGAGTGGAGAGGGCAAGGTGACCCAATCCCAGAAGGCCCTCAGGCCCTCCAGAGAGCCACTGCTTCTAGTTCTGGCTGGAAGGGAGCCCAGACAGGTGAGGCACACAGGAGCAGGACAGAGAACCTGCAAGGATCTGCAGG